GAAGCGCTGCGGTTGTCCCCAGGGCAGGGCACGGGCTGTCCCTTGGGGTGGGAATGCTGGATCATCCTGTCCTTGTGATCATTGCCTTGCTGCTTCATAGAATGGTTTGGGTTGAAGGGACCTTAAAGCTCACTCAATTCAATCCTCTGCCGTGGGCAGGGACACGTTCTGCTAGAGCAGGCTCCTCCAAGCCCCTGTGTCCCCCCTGGATCTGAATGACTCATAATCATTTTTTTCCTTTTCCCCACTGATTTCTGTGCTGTAATGCAAAGTTTGCTTTGAGAGGCTTCTTGTGCGGGTTGTAGGGGCACAGCTGTACACGCATCTGGTGGGTATCTGTGCATGACCAGGGAAATAGAAGGGTGTGTGGATGTGTCCATCCCTGTCAGCCAGGTTCCATGTCACAAGGCGGGCCCTGCTCCCTGCATGGATTTCAACCCCATGGAGCCGTTCCACTGATGCGGTGTCGGGATGGGCTGGCACACACATGGTGGCTTCCACAAGGTGTGACAGAAGGTCCTGTCGCTGCCAAACAAAAGGGGGGTGCGGATTTATGGCCAGGAAGTCAGCAACCTGGAAACCCCTCTGATGTGTTCCATATGGTGCGGGAAGGCCGGTGAGAGCCTGAACGGAGCAGGAGCAAAGCGGAGCCTTTAGTTGCTGTTAGGGAATCCCATGAATGTATTCCCTCTAAACCAATGTTTTTCATTCTCTGAAACCAAAAGGGTTTTCTCTTTGTGGAAATGTTGCTCTGTGCAATCAGTACTAATTAAGTGGTTGAAATGCATTAAATGGTGCTGTAGGAATCTTCTTGGGAACACTAACAGCTCGAGTTTTACTGTTCCTCTTACAACCGTAAATAAGGATAAATGCCTAATTGCTCCTGAAAGCATCCTGCTGGACCCAATGAGCTGACTAAAACCAATCCTTCATTGCAGAATGGTTTAATTTCATTTAACTTCAACCAGAGATTCCCCTTGCTTCCTGTTCTTGCGTCTGCTCCACAGCCCCTTCTCTGCTTCATCCCTGTGGTCATTCTGCAGGAGCAGGGCTGTGGGGAAGGGATTTGTTCCCATCCTCATTCGGGAAGGTCTCATTTCATTAAGATGTTGGGAATTAATCTCAACCCTTCCCCAATGCTCTTTGTGCTCCCAGGGGAAGTCCTCTGGCTCTGCTCGGCTTCCCGGGGGCAGGATGAAGCCCACTGGGGTTGGAGCAGGACATTCCGCATGTTGTGGTTTGCAGGGCTGTGGTTTTGGGAATGATGATGAAGAGCCAAGTTTTGGCCAAATCAGCCTGCACTGGGTCAGGGTCCTGGCTCCTGCCGAGTGGGGCCTCACGGGTGAGTGCGTTTCTGCAGCAGGAGGTATTTGCCTCTCTCCTTTGCCCTCCAGCGCTGCAGAGCCCGGCTGAAGAAGCAGCAAAGTGGATTCCATGGCATGTGGCTCATGTCCTGCTAACGAGCGGAGCATGTCCAGCCTCAGCCAGCCCCTGTCTGCTGGGAAAGAGTCTGCCATAGGCAAACCTCCCCCTCCCACCTCTCCTGGCCGTGCCAGCCGAAGCCAACAGGAAACCTGTTGGTGCCGAGCAGATGGGAGCTGTGGCTCGGCAGCATGTGGGGAAGCAGGGATGCTCTGGGGCTGGGAATGAGGATGCACTAGAGCAGCTCTCCGCCAGCTGTGGAGAGGAGAGGTTTCCCCCATCCCAAGGCAGGGAGGAAGCAGTGTGCGGACAGAATTGACGTGTGTGTGGAGAAAGAGAGATTCCAAGTCTCTTCTGCATGGCTGTGAAGGTCTGTGGCTCTGCCAGCCTGGTGGGCACCCGCTTGGTGCCCCCTGGGAGCTGTGAAGTGAGAAAGGAGGCAGTGTCTGTAGAGAGCCCCTTTATAGCAGTACCGTTCACAGCATTCCTGGCATGGGAAGGACCTGCAGGAGTCAGAAAAGCTGATTTTTCATAGACCCATGGAATGGTTTGGGTTGGAAGGAACCTTAAAGCTCCTCCAGCTCCAACCTCTGCCACGGGCAGGGACACCTTCCACTGGAGCAGCTTGCTCCAAGCCCCTGCGTCCAACCTGGCCTTTTTTCCCCTTTCACTGCAGGTTTCACAGTGGCTTCCAAAGTGCCTGGAGCTCTTTTCTGGTTTAATTATTGGTACGCGAGTGGTGACTTTACATAAGGAGAAACTTGAGAGTGTGAAACTTGCAGCAGAGCCGGGCAATGACCCTGGAGCAGGATGTGGGGGCTGGATCTGCTTTCAGTGCCATCCCATTCACCACATGGCTGCTGAGATCAAGGTGTACTTGCCTGGGGGGTGCTGAGATCATCAGCATCTCATGGGGGTTGGTCCCTGCTGGGAACCTCATCCCATCATGGGTGCCTCCATCATCCCATCATGGGTGCCTCCATCATCCCATCATGGGTGCCTCCATCATCCCATCATGGGTGCCTCCATCATCCCATCATGGGTGCCTCCATCATCCCATCATGGGTGCCTCCATCATCCCCTGGGATCTGCCCCTTCTTTGTTTTACTTGCATTTAAGCTTTTCCCCCAGTGCCTGCTTGATGCCTCTGGAGGGAGGTTTGAGACAAGGCCTGGGATGTGTTTCGCAAAGCAGACTGTTTGTTGGGAGGATGTTGCAGTGAGTCACAGGGAGAGGGAAAACACCAACAAGTCTGGAAACCATTTCTGAACTCTGGGGAAGCATCTGGGGGAAAAGGCATCTGAGTGTGCCCCATTGCCTGGAGCCGCAAGAACCAGCGGGATGTGGCTGTTGTTGGTGCTCGGGTGCAGGCTGAACGCTGGGTGAGCTTCACGACTCTGAGCATCCCCACATGAGCACGTTCATGCCCCCCCTTCAGTTCCAGCCTCTGTGCTGGGAGATGTCCCTGGCCCCGGGTGAGGAGCACCCGGACAATGGGGGCTGTGTTCTGCATGGGCAGGGGCTCGGGCACTGCCGGTCCCCAGCACCCACCTACACGCGCAGGCACGTCTGCAGCGTGTTCCTGGGGCACAGAGCACCCACATCTGCCCCGGACAAAGGGGCCCTGGAGGAGCCTGGTGTTTGCTCTCCTGAAGGTGGGGATGCGTTTTGTGCCTGCTCTGTTGGGGTCCTTGTTTGCTCTTGGTCTTGCACGGGCAGCCCTGTCCTCCCTGCTTGGTGTCCGGGCACGGGAAGCATCCAGGGCATTCCCATGTAGACAAATACCTCCCAAGCACCTGTGCCAGGAGCCTGCTCTTCCAGGTCACTCCTGTTTCTTTCACATGAACTGGTGGCAGCTTACAGAAACCAATGCATTCTTTGCTTTCCAGGCGCCAGCAGCATTTAAATGTGTGCTATTTAAATGCCTGCTGTCTTGCACCTTTCCTCCTGTACTTCATCTGTGAATGAAGAGGGGTTTAAAGCATTCTGTGGCAGTGAGGGGGAGCATCAGTGTGCGAGCACAGTAAGGACCCCAGAAACCTCAGCCTCACAAAATCCCTGGTTGCAGTATTCAGGCTGATTCAGTTCCGAAGTCGGACTCATAGCAGAAGGGCATAAAACCCCCTGACCCATTACTCACGTTACGCTGTAACTGCAGAAATGAACTGCTTTAAAAAGGAAGGCTACAGATCAAAATGCCATTTTCCCTTGGACAGAAAGCTAAAGAAGTCATCAGAAAGGCTTTGTTCAGCGTGACCTGCTCACAGGGCTGCACAAGGCCAGGACGTGACTTTAATCACTGCCTCGCTCCTATCATCATTCTGTCCTGTAACTCTTTTATTGCAACAGCTGGATTGGAAAATCCTTGGAAGGAGCAGAAAGGATCAAAGCAGCGCTCCCCTCCAAGCCCCTTCCCAACCCACAGTCCATCATCGGGTGTAACTGGAACACTGGGGTGTAACAGGCCCCAGAGACCCTGCTCACACCCCGGAAGGGCTGGATGGAGAAACCATCAAGCACGTCTGGTTCCCTACAAGAATAACAGGGAAAAGTGTCCTTAAGAGTTGCCTTGTGCTGGGATTGAGCCAGCCCAGGGCTCACAGAGCTTCCTGGGCCACGTGTCAGGGCTGTTTGTTCTCTGTGACATCTGGCTCCCAGCAGCATTCCCTGCGGGACCTGGAGCCCCCCAGCACCCCCCTGTTTCTCTGTTGTTCCCAATGCCCCCTCCCTCCCGCTCCACACTGGGCTTGGGAGCAGCTGAAGGGGCAGCAGCAGCATCCAAAGCTGATTTATGTGTGATGGAGACGGGCTCTGCACCGCTCCCTGCCTGGCCACATCCCACCTTGGAGGAGCAGCATGGAGTGAGGTTGGGTTTTTCCACTGCTCGCTGTCCTGGCTCCGTTCTTGTTCTGAGCTGAGCTCTCTGCACGGCTGATGTCCTTTTTATAACTCTATTACAGAGGGTTGTATCTCAGCCGCCATGCGCCACAGCAGCATTTCTAAGGGGTTTTATGGTACAAATGGGACGATTTATCCTCCTTTTCACTCTTTATTAATCTGCATTTAGCCTGTGGGTTTAACAGCAAAATAAAAAGCATGGGGATGCATGTGATAACCTGGCCATCCCTGGGAGGTGTGGATGGTGCTGCTGCACATCTGGCACAGGGAGCGAAGCAGCTGGAAATGAGCAGGGACCCCTTCCACTGGAGCAGCTTGCTCCAAGCCCCTGTGTCCAACCTGGCCTTGAGCACTGCCAGGGATGGGGCAGCCACAGCTTCTCTGGGCACCCTGTGCCAGCTCCTCAGCACCCTCACAGGGAAGAGCTTCTGCCTAAACCTATGAGGTCAGGAGATAACAAATAACCCAAAAGGCTGATTTTCTGCCAGCGGCCGGGAGGACCACAACCATGGGCTTGTACCTGGGTCACCAGAGCCTGGAGGCTGTTTTTCTGGCATATTCAACCCCTGTCCCTTCACACCAACATCTTTGGACTGGAAACGCTCTCTCCAGAGTTACCCACAGGCAGCAGGTGGGGCTGTGACCGGGTCGGTGATGCTGGCTCTGTGTTTGCTTTGCAGCTGAGGATCCGTCCGTGCGTGCCGCTGCTCTGCTCCCCCTGCGGGACACGACTGAGGTCCTGAGGCTGCCCAGCGTCCAAAATGGTCATGCAAAGACACCACCTCACCTGCGCAGGAATAGCATTCGTTCTCTACCTTCATCACCTCGTCAGCACCATTGAAGTCCCTCTGGACTGTAAGTTGTGGTTTACCCCTTTAAAGGCTCCCGCTGAGGAGGTGGAGCTGTGCCCAGCCCAGGTCCTGTTCCTGCCTCAACTTTTCTTCACCGGTGCTTCTTTGGGGCTGTTTTCTTGATATAAACCACTTTATAAAGCCACTGAGATTGTCTAAACCAAACAGTGATTTATCGGAAAAGCTGAGCAGAGGGCTCACAACCATGTACGAGCACGTTGCTGGTCTTACCTGGCATGAGTAGACACCTATGTCCTTGAGGATAGTGCAGACCCAGGCAGGTCCTGCAGAGCAATGTGGTTTTTCTCTCTCCTTTGGGACTTGGTGGTTAATTCTGAGCTGGGAATTATGTTTTATGGAAGAGCTGGGGGCTATGGAGAGAGGAGGAAGGGGGCCACGGGCTGATGCTTCTGCTGAACGGGCATCTTCAGGAGCTGTCTGAATGCACCTGGGGTGGGGGCCATTTCTTTGTGGCCCAGCTCCCTCCCGTAGCTGCTCTGTAACAATCAGCCCAGCGCTGCGGGAGCCTCTTCCTTCTGCCGCTGTGCAGAGCATCCCCAGCGTCAGCAGGGAAGCGCAGCCCTGTGCCAGGGTCTGAAGCCACAAAGTTGTCCTGACAGGAGGGGGCTCTGCCCTCTGGGCTCTTGCTGGCCCCTGGCTCTGGGCAGCAAAATGGGGAGGAAGAACCTGAGGTGGTGGCTTCTGGCTGACATTCGGAAATGACTGAGGATAAAGGGTGGGAGAGCTCTGGTTTATGGAGGGGAATAAAGACCTGTGGTACCTGAGGGCACAGGGAACAGGTCCCAGGCTCGAGTCCCTGCAGGTGAAAGTACCCTGGAGCCAGCACTCTTGTTCCCAGCAATGGGAATTTTGCCGGATGCACACAGCGAGGTGTTTCCTTCAGCCCTGGCTTTGTTAGTGTCAGTGGGGCTCTTCTGCAGTAGATGAGGACACGCTGGGATCGTGAAGTGATTTGTGGGTGGTGTTTGCGAGCCCTACGATAACTCCACGTTTGTGCACGTGACGTGTGCAGGTTTGCTCCTCAATTAACCTTTTCTCTTTTCCCCATCATGCTTGCACTTTGGGAATAACAGCAAATATTCAGAGTGAATGTAAGTGTTCCCCTCGCCCTGTGTGCATGCCTGTCCTGCATGGCCCAACCAGGGCACGACGGGGCTGTGCCGCGCAGGGGCCGCGGTGGCTGTGGCTTGGCACATGGTGACTGGGTGCATTGCCCACTTCTGTGGCCAGATCTGGGACAATCCAGCCCCAGGCATGGTGGTGCTGGAGGAGCTTGGGAGGAGTGCCTGGGCTCTGCTGCTGTTCCTGGAGCAGGAGCTGGTCTGTCTTTGCAAGGCCAATGTTGCCTCTGCAGGGGCTTGGTACTGCTAATGCTCAGAGGAGAGCAGGTTCCTCTGCCTTGCATGGGTGCGTGTGCCCAACGGGCTCCATGGGCTGACCTGTTTGGGCATCACTGTAGCTCTCAGGGGCAGAGCAAACAGCCTCGGACCTGAGCAGCTTCCTTCCAGGTCAACCACAGGACTGAGCTCTTCAGTTCGGGAGCAGAGCCATGTCCTGCATGCGCAATGCTCCTCACACGCCCTGCCCTTCCAGACCCCAGTGCTGCACCTCTTTGGGGTAACCCGGGGAGGGTTGCACAGGGAGGACCTGTAACGGTCCTGCTGTGGGTCTCTGGCTCCCAGTCCCAGCTGCAGCCCCTCTCTTTGGGGCTTGCAGCCAGGACTTGGTCTCATTCAGTCTGCGGTCGCAGGGAGATGTGACTGTGAAATTCCTTAATGGCACCAAGATACCAAGTGAGAAACAGGAGCTTTCTGGTGCCCAGAGTGCTGAGGGTTCAAGAGGAGATGAGCAGCACCCCCATGGGAAATCCCCCAGGTGCTGGAGGTCTTTAAAGCACAAATTGTCCATCCAGCCTAGGGAAGAAGCTGAAACCCCACCAGGATCTGCTGCAGGATGGCAAAGAAGGCATTCACCCTCTCCACACAACCCTCCTCATGGCTTTTCCTTTGCTTTGCAGTGCCTCAACCTCCCACAATCACCAAGCAGTCCGTGAAGGACTACATCGTCGACCCAAGGGATAACATCTTCATTGAATGCGAAGCCAAAGGGAACCCTGTGCCCACGTAAGCGCGTCCTCAGCCCTTGCGCTGCAGCTCTGCTCTCATTAGAGCTCAGGTAAGGACCTCGCCGGGTCCACACGGTGCATGGTGACAAACCCAACCTTTTCCCTGTGCTTGCAGCTTTTCCTGGACGCGGAACGGGAAGTTCTTCAACGTGGCGAAGGACCCCAAGGTGTCGATGCGGCGGCGGTCGGGGACGCTGGTCATTGACTTCCACAGCGGGGGCCGGCCGGAGGACTATGAGGGCGAGTACCAGTGCTTTGCCCGGAATGACTACGGCACTGCCCTCTCCAGCAAGATCCACCTCCAGGTCTCTAGTGAGTAACGGCAGAGCCAGCAGCCTGAAAGCCGGGGGCATCGCATGAGAGCTCGTAGAAGAGGCGTGGAGTGCTCAAACATCTCATCCTGCCTCACCTGTTACCTGTGTTGGGGTGTATCCAGCAACAGGGCTGGGATGAAGGCACGGGGGTGATGGCTGTAGCTAACAGGGGTACACTTGGAATCTTGCGTGTATAGCAATGAAGTTTGCATTGAGGCCAAGCCATCGAAACCAGGCCAGGTCCAGAGGGAACAGATCTGCAGCGCTGCCACCCTCCCTTCCTCACGTGGTGTCTTTGTTTCTAATGGCAGAGTCTCCCCTGTGGCCCAAGGAGAAGGTGGATGTGATAGAGGTGGATGAAGGTGCTCCGCTGAGCCTGCAGTGCAACCCGCCGCCGGGCCTGCCCTCTCCCGTCATCTTCTGGATGAGCAGCTGTGAGTTGGGAGAAAACCCCTTTCCCCATGGACCCCATGGGCAACCTTTCCATCACCTGCAGTGGCCATTTCAAATGGCTCTGTTGAGCGCTGTTGCTGCTTGTTCAGAGCTGGAGGCACTCGTGTGGCACACGTGGCTTTAACCTGGCCAAGGGGAGGCTGAGCTGAGCTCTTAGGCAGAAGCTCTTCCCTGTGAGGGTGCTGAGGCGCTGGCACAGGGTGCCCAGAGAAGCTGTGGCTGCCCCATCCCTGGCAGTGCTCAAGGCCAGGTTGGACACAGGGACTTGGAGCAAGCTGCTCCAGTGGGAGGTGTCCCTGGGTTGGAACTGGAGGAGCTTTAAGGTCCTTTCCAAGCCATTCTATGATGTGCAGCTTGGGTCCTGGGTTTGCTTTTCTCCTTTACCACCTGTGGGGTACCTGACTTGCTCCCAATGCCTCTCCTCCCCTGCAGCCATGGAGCCCATCCACCAGGACAAGCGTGTCTCCCAGGGCCAGAACGGGGACTTGTACTTCTCCAACGTGATGCTGCAGGATGCCCAGACCGACTACAGCTGCAACGCGCGCTTCCACTTCACCCACACCATCCAGCAGAAAAACCCCTACACCCTCAAGGTGAAAACCAGTAAGTGTCACGGTGACTGCTCGGGGTGGCTCTTCCCTGGCCTCTCGGGCAGGATTTTCCTTCCACACACCTGATTTCGGTCCTTGACGGCACTGAGAGCTACCAGGGAGAAGAGCGGCTTCCTGCGTTTCATTTAGGGTAGGACAAGAACCGGTGTGGATGAGGGTTGAGGGATGCAGAGGCAGCTCGGTGCGGGTATCTGCGTGTCTGGGGTAGACTGGAAAGCATTTCAACACAAGTGGGGCACTGTCCCCATCCTGAAGGAAATGTGTAGTATCAAGTGATGCTTCCCTAGTTGGAAAAGCTGGGAAGAGCCTTGGTTTGCTCCAGGTTCATGTGCGGGTGCTGCACTGGGGGACTGAGTGTGTGTGAACCTTGCACAGCTCAGGATTTACCTATGGGGCAGGAGCTGTTCCTTTGCTCTGGAATGTGATCACAGGAGGGCTTGAGCCCCTGGGCTCTGCATGCACTTCACTTCGTGTACTTCACCGCGGTGAGGAGCATTGGCTTGGGGAGCAGGAGGAACACGTGCGTGGCTCTCTCCAGGCATGCTTGAAGGCAGGTTTGCTCCTGATGCTAACGTTTCACGCCAGAGCGCTGCAGGACGCGATGCTCTGGAGCTGGTGCGGGTCCTGCAGAGCTTGGGCTCTCCTTCGGGGTGTGTGTGATGTGCAGGGCAGCAGTCAGCACGGAACAGCATCTGCGCCCCAGCCATCGGGCAGGAGCCATCTCCTGTTCCCTGTAAGTGCGTGCTGGCAGATGCAAGGCTTGGGGAGCAGACTCCTGTACGAAGCAGGCACAAGGTGCTCCCAGATCCTGGCGTTAGGAGCTTAACTGGATCTTGCAGCAGCTTAAATGAGAAGTAATGCTGTTAAAGTGAGCTGAGAGTGATGTGAGAGCACACAGGGCTGGGGGGGGTTTGCACTTTTATCGTAACAGCTTCTCCTTGGTGCAAAGCATGAGTGGAGAATCAGCAAGACAAAGAGTATCAGCTCTTTGCTAATGGTGAGGGATGTGTGTAGGGAGTTAACTGTGAGTATTCCTCATGTGTGCACAGAGCTGGCCGGACAGCGGGGGGACCTGTTGGGGAAGGACTGAGCCCTGCACTAGTGTGAGCTGGAGAAGTCCTGGCAAACAAAGACCTGTGGTCACTTGAGCCTCCAAAGGCTCCATCCCGATTTGTGCAGCTCTAGAGAACATGTGGAAGAGGTTCTGGTTCCTGTGAACAGATACAAGCTCCCCTCCTGCACACTCAGGTGCCACCAGAGCATTTTGCTCCTGAGCTCTGTAGAAATGGCTTTCAGTTCTCCTGGATCCTCTTTACGCTTTCCTTTCTGCTCTATTATCATCACATGCAAACCCCATCCCAAGAGCTGCACAGAGGCCCTTATAATGTAAAGAACTGAGGGTCTAATTCCTCTTCAGCTTGGGTACAAAAAGTTCTTTATGATGTTCAAAGGAGATGAGCTCGCGTTGTCTCAAGCTGTTCCATCATCTCAGCCTTAAGACAGGAGCATTGCCTGTCCTTAAAGGAAGTTCATCAGCTGCTGAGAAATCATTGCATGGGGTTGCCATGCCCTGGGCTGCCAGAGGAGGAAAATGCAAAGCTTTTGGGGAGTGATACAGAGATCCTCTGGTGAATCACAGACTCCTGGAATGGTCTGTGTTGGAAGGAACCTTAAAGTTCCTCCAGTTCCAACCCCTGCCATGGGCAGGGACACCTTCCACTAGGGCAGGTTGCTCCAAACTCTGTCCAACCTGGCCTTAAACACTTGGTATCCAGGTTCAGGTACCCCCTGGGCATCTGCGGGGCTCTCCTGATGCCCTTGCACAGACCCATGGTGTGTGGCTGTTGACTTCAGGCTCAGGGGGACAGCTATGTGGTAGCCAACACAGCCTCTGGCACCTCTTGTTGGGCAGATGACTCCATAGCATGGCTGTGCCACATCCTAGCGGGAACCAGGGTGTTCTTGGACACCAAAGCTCTACTTTGGGTTGCGGTGTGAGCTGAGGGCAGGTCCTCAGCAGTTGTGGGCTTTCTTCTTCCAGCAGAGGTGGTGGCTGTCAGTACACCAGAGCAGCGGGTTACTGAAAAGCTGGTGCTTTGCACGTGGCAACATCTACTTTAATTATCTGGAAATGAAAAGGGATTTTCCACCAGATTGTGCTTTTAGGACCTAATTATTGTTATTATTTGTTCATCTTCCCCATGACCTTCTGCACTGTTATGCAGTTGTTTGGCTGGGTCCAGCCTGTGCCTTATGCTGGGAAAGAGGAGCTGGAATGTGTTTCCTTCAGTTAACTGAGAGAAACCCCATTTTCTTCTCCAAACGGAACAGATCTATTCCCCCCCTCCCCAAAGATATAAATGTCTTTATAACAAACAGAACACCCCAAGGAAATGTTTATGATGCAGTTTTCACCCATTGATGTGTTTTCCCCTCCCATAGGAGGGACTGAGTCCTCTTTGCCTCCCCTTTGTTGCTGTGGTGTCTGTCCTGGAAGGCAGCTGTGCTCAGAGTGTGTTTGTGTCCCTGCTCTTCCCTGTTTGCCTTGCTCTCGTGTTCTGGGAAGTGCTTTGGCCCCTGCCCCTCTGTGGCCCTCGGGACGCTCATGGTCTTTTGTTTATTGCAGAGAAACCCCATAACGAAACGTCCTTACGAAATCACACTGCCATGTACAGTGGTGAGTCAACGCTGGCTGCTGGAGACCTCCACGGGTTAACCCCCTCCTGCCTAACCTGACTGACTCCTGCTAACCCCTCTGTGTGTGCCCGTGTCCCCACATGTGGGTTGTGGCCTCAACTTTGCCAAAACAAGTGGGGCAAAATGAGCCAAAGGGTGATAAACCCCCCCTGAAGTTCTCACTGTTCCCAGTGATTGAGTTTTAAGTGAATTAACCAGATACACGGAGGCTCGAGAGGTGTTTGGGTTCATAGGGTCTGGCCCGAGTAAGCCCAGGCTGCTACCTTGCTGAAGAGGTGGCTTGTCCTCAGCAAAGGCTCATAATGTAAAGATAAGACCCACCATCCCTCTCCTTGTCTTCAGAAAGAGCATCTGTTGTGTTTGCAGCTAAACACGGGGAGAAAAGGGGACAAAAAGGAGTGTTTGGTTCCGGGTGCTTTGTTTCTTTGTGATGATGTTGTGCATGCACTGGATGCTGTCTGAGGCTCTTCCCCTTTGTCTGCGCAGGGAGATCACCTCCGGAGCCTGGGTTTGCTGGGAGAGCCCATCCCAGACTCAAATTATGCTTCAGACACAAAGCACGTGGCTCCCGGTGCTGAGAACAGACTGGCAGTGTCATGGATGGGGTGGGATAACGCGGGCAGCAGCAGGGGTTTGCATGGGGGGGACACGGGGCTGTTTGCGGGGAGCACAGGCACTACCAGGGGGGTGAACCAGAGACCACCACAGAGCCTGACTGCTGCAGGCCAGTACTGGTGTGGGCAGGGGGTTGCTTTGTGCCCCCCTTGCTGCTTATGGGGACCCCACACTGGTCCCCAGCCATGTCCTATAGCGAAGTCTTGCTCAGCTTCCCACCTGCAGCCCCAGCTTGCTTTGTGCCTTGCAGAACCCAGGCACAATTTCTTTTCCATGGGGACTTTGGGGGACAAGAAGTGCTTTTGCCAGCTTAGAGCAGAGAGAGTTGGAGTGTGAGGAGAGGAGGATGTGCCAGGTGAGGACACTGGGTGCAGTGTCCCCATGAGAGTCGAGGGAACCATGATGCAGCATCTCACTGGACTGGGAGGTTCCTGAGGATGCTGAGGAGCTCAGCAGAGGAACCAGCCTTGGGCACGTGCTGGTGGCAGAGAAAGGGCTGGGTGTAGTCTGAAGGCATTTGTACAAATGGCTCTGGAAGGGGATTGCTGGCAAAATCAGCTTCAATGGGAACTGCAACAGCTGCATCATGCCTCGAAGAGAGCTGAGCATGGGTGATGCCTCCATCAAAGGCATATGGGGCCAGGGACCAGAGAAACCCAGTGGTGAGCATCCCTCTCAATGTATCATGCACCTCAGAGTGTAAATGGTGCTTGCATTTCAAAGAGGACACCTTCATGCTGGCTGGGCACTGCTTTGGTGCTTGCAGCTGGGGAGGGAGAGCCACTGAGGTGGTTGTGGGCTTCTTGATCTCCTGCTCCGCATCTTTGTGCAGGGAAAAAGGATGCTCAGTAGTCACCTGGGTAGGAAAATGGGATCTTATCTGCACAGCCTCACAGATCTCTGTTCATAGGTGCAGAGCTGTCTGGTATTTGCATGATATGGGCTATGTGCACTTACCATCCCCTGGAATGCTTTATGGAACAGTGGGCTCAGATCACTCACTCACACTCCTGTGCAAACCTGAGCTCCAACCAGCATTCCTTAATGATCTGCTGATAAGCTTCTTACCCTCAGCCCTTTTTCCTTCTGCTAAGCCTGTGTTTCTCCCCGGAATGCCCCATCCAGCCATCCTGGCCGCTGGAACCAGCTGCAGCAAAGCAAGTTCCTAGGGGTGGGGAGTGGGGAATAGGGACTTGTCTCCCACGTGGTTTAGGTTTTGGGAGACCTGGGGCTCTTGGACCCTCTGCCTTGGGGTGCTGGTCCCTCTGGCACGGGCTCAGCTCCAGAGCCAGCAGGCACAGGGCTCTGCAGAGCGTGCAGGGATGGGCTGCAGCGGGAGCAGTCTGTGATGGATGTGCCCGAGCTCATCTCGGGATGTGGGCCCGGCTGGCGTGGATGTGGGGCACGAGCGGTTTGTGGGACGCTCAAACTGCACAAGGGCCAGGCCAGTTGTGGGGGATGCATCCGGGAGACTCCTCCAGGCCCCTCTCCCCGTGTCTCATTATGGGTGCAGGGATTTCCTTGCTGCAAAGCTTAATTGCCTGGGCAAACTGTCTGCAGCTCTGAAAGAAAAAGGATCTGAAAGGATTAATTGAATCCTTTATTAGCAGAAGCTTCTCACCTCGTTCCTTTATAAATGGAAATGAAAGTCTGGTTTGTTCTTTTTCCTTTGGCAAACCCGCGGGATGATTTAAAGCTGGTTTCAGTGTGCAGGAGGGAACAGATGGGATGTGCCTCCACGTGCTCCTTCCCATTATTGCCTTTCAGCAGCAACACGAGTTGATGTTCAATCTTCAGATGCCTTGGGTCAGGGCTGTGGGGAGGGGTAGGTGAGAAGTGCCCATTCCTGGGATACCTTGTTCGCAGCTGAACGGGTCCAGTTTCACAGAGACACAGCAGCAATAGGTTGGAAGCAGAGCCCATTTTTGAGCAGTAATAAATAGCCACAGGATTTATTTTTCCAGTTCTGTTCCATCCAAACACGAGTGAAACGTTGCTGTTTGTCTGACAGCATCCAGCTGGAGCAGTTCCTCTGCCTGAGAGAATTCCTGGCTGCTCCCTGTTCTAAACAACAAAATATGGATTAGGAATGCTGTACTAAGGCAAGAAGCTGATCAGCTCTGCAGCGTTGCTGTCGGTTTTCTTAAGCAAGTGGATAGGATACTAATTTATCTCCCTTATTTTTAATTGTCATCATTAATATATGGCTTGTAAAATCTAGCTTACATTGCTGCTTATCTCTTCTAGTTATGACCCGGGCTCCTGAGCAAGTGGTTCATTGTGGGGGTGAAATGCACAGCCTGATGGCTAAGAAAGGCCAGTAGTGGCTTATAGAGCCTTATCCCACTCTCCTAATGGCGTGAGCAGAGAGAAGTTCATGAGGCTGGCCAGAGGGATGGGAGCTGATGATGAACACCAGCTCTAAGCCCAGGCGCTGGCTCTGTCCTTCCCGGCGCAGCCCCGGCATGGGCTGGCTGGGGTTAACCAGGATGCGATCCTCCCCAGAAGCAGGCGAGCGACCAGCCTGGCGGTGCCTGCCCCAGGAGCTGGCCCTGCAGGATAAGGGCAAGATTTGCCTTCCTGGTAATCCATTAATCCAATAATTGACTAACCCGCTGAGGAGCACGCGCTGCCGGGATCCCGCGGGATCGGGGTGTGGAGCGGTGGGGTGCGTGTGTGCGCCTGGGCTCCGGCTCCGGGCTCGTCTCAAAGGCTCGGTTCAACTCCTGGGGTTGGGTTCGCCCCCACTGTGAGCCCAGTCCCAGCCTTTCCCTCGGGCCAGCTGATGGCAACTCCGTGACCAGCCCTTGCCCTCCCTCTTCCCAGCCCTTTTTCTCTACCAGAGTGCGTGGGGAGGCTTCCCAAATAGCTGTGGGCATCCCCAAAAGCCTCATGGTGCTGGGCACCCCGGCTGCCTCCTGCTCATCGAAGAAGCAGGAAAGGGATCATTCTGCACCCCGAGATCCTGCTCCATGGGCTCTTCCCACAGACCCATTTGGTATCTGCAGTGACCCTGTGCCAGCCCCGGCCATTCTGTCCCCTCTCCTAATCTCGTAACCTCCATCTCTGCTACTGCTGCTTTCAAGCCCATCTCATCCTGTTTTGTCCTCACTGATCAAGATCTAGTTTAATAATTCCACTTATTAATGGAATTTTTTCCATTAATAACAGATTTCTGTGCCCTACGAAGAGACCTTCGCTGTGTGTACGTGTAGAGTCATCTCCTGTCTTATCCTGGTTTTCTCCTGTTCAACATTCTTGTCCAGTCCTGAAATTTGCCCTTTTGGTGGCTGAGTTGTTCCTTCCCAAAGGACACTGTCCTTCCAGGTCCAGCAGCTCCATGTAAGGGTGGGAAACCTCCCTGGTGCTGCTGGAGCCCCAGACAGTGCTGGGATGCTCCATATTTCAGAGATCCCTGTTGCAAAGCAGCTCAGTTGTCCAAGTAAACCCTTCCTGTGCCCATTTGTTCCCTTTGTCTTTCACTACATGTTGTGTCCATCAGGATTTCCAAGTCTCATCTGATTTCAGACCATTTCTTTGTGCTAGAGGCAGGGGCAGGCAGGAAAGCACTGCCCCATTGGGAGCTGATGGTGATGGGACCATCCCTGCGGCTCAGTTCCCTCTGCCCATCCTTTGCTGTTCCTTTACCTCTCTGCCTCCCAAACATTCCCTCTCCACCCATTTTTACTTTAAATATTACCTTGAGCCCTCCTCCACTCTCCAGATGAGTTCAGCATCCCAGGCTTGACCAGGAACTTGACAGCTCCCCCCTGCAAGCACTGTGTACTCCCACCCCTTACGTGCCCTCCCCGCTGCTGCACCAAAGGATGGTTTAAAAGCACTGTGTTTTGTTTGTGTGTTTGTTTTCTTTCTCTCCTGCTGATTTCAGCCCGAGGGATTACGGAGACGACCCCCAGCTTCATGTATCCCTATGGAACCTCAAGCAGTCAGATGGTGCTCAGAGGAGTGGACCTCTTGCTGGAGTGCATCGCTTCAGGAGTGTATGTACCGCTGGTGGAGATGGGGAGAGGGTGGCCTGGCACCAGGATGCTGAAGCATAGAACAGAATCCCGGAATAGTTTGGGCTGAAGGGACCTTAAAGCTCCTCCAGTTCCACCCCCTGCTATGGGCAGGGACTCCCTCCACTGGAGCAGCTTGCTCCAAGCCCCATCCAGCCTGGCCTTGAACACTTGTTGGCCCCTTCAGGCACTGGAGCTGCTCTCAGGTCTCCCCTTCAGGAGCCTTCTCTTCTCCAGGCTGCCCCAGCCCAGCTCTCTCAGCCTGGCTCCAGAGCAGAGCTGCTCCAGCCCTCGCAGCATCTCCGTGCCCTCCCCTGGACTCACTCCAAGAGCTCCCCGTCCCTCTGGTGTTGGCATTCCCAGTGAATCAGTGGTGCAGAAAGCATCGTTCCTTTCCTTTTAGCTGTCATAACATCCTTGGAGTGTAAGAACATGGAGGAACAGGAGAGCAGAGTTTTGCAGCCCTGTTCACAGGAGCAGGGCGCTCACTGTCCAAGGGTGGTTCCCCACTGAGGACAAGGTTCTCAACTGTTTTCTTAGGAGTCATTTTCTTGCCTTGCAAAAGGATTTATCTCCTCCCCTCTCCTTAGACCAGCACCGGACATCATGTGGTACAAGAAAGGAGGAGAGCTCCCAGTCGGTAAAACCAAGCTGGAGAACTTCAACAAGGCTCTTCGTATCTCCAATGTCTCCGAGGAGGACTCCGGGGAGTATTTCTGCTTGGCCTCCAACAAGATGGGCAGCATCCGCCACACGATCTCGGTGAGAGTGAAGGGTACGTCACCTTTACCTTGCTGTCTTTTTGCCCTTCCCGACCAGCAGCATGGAAGGGGCTCCTCTGTGCTGGATCCAGCCACCCTCGCTGCTTGCCCAAACTGACCCGAAAGCAGTGTGAGACGTGTGTAACCCAGCAGGGCCCCGCTGATATCAGTGGCTGCGTGTTTGTGTGGCCACAGATGGGGGGGAAGAGGCTTTCCCCCCTTGGGCACCCGGGGAAGCCTACGTTAGCTCAGCAGAGAGGGGGTTCTGGGTGAGGTCGTGCTGCTGCGGTTATAACCGGTGCGTTGGTGTGTTTTAAAGCTGCTCCGTACTGGCTGGATGAACCCCAAAACCTCATCCTGGCCCCCGGTGAGGACGGCAGGCTGGTGTGCCGCGCCAACGGGAACCCCAAGCCGGCGATCCAGTGGCTGGTGAACGGCGAGCCTATAGAAGGTGAGCAGGGAGAGGCCGTGCCTCCCAGCCAAGGATCTGACCATGAGAGCCAGGCACCCGCTGAGCTGCGTGCGTGGGCTCCAGCATCACAGCGCATAAACCACCCGCTGGTCTGAGCTGAGGCCAGCTGAGCCGTGTCTCTGCAGGCTGTACCCTCGCCTGGCTTGGTCTGCAGGCAGAGGGATGCATCATGATGTTCTCTGGTGAATCTTAGCTGAAGGAGCACTCTCTGTTTTGCAGGTTCTCCCCCCAACCCGAGCCGAGAGGTGGCTGGAGACACCATTGTATTTCGGGATACCCAGATCGGCAGCAGTGCCGTGTACCAGTGCAATGCATCCAACGAGCATGGCTACCTCCTTGCCAATGCCTTTGTCAGTGTCCTGGGTAAGTCCTGATGGAAGATGAACCCTGCTCATGGCAGATGAATGCCCCATACTCGAGTTTTCCGAGTTTTCCCTGCAGAAGTTCTCTATGTGCTTTCCTCTTTGTGTTAGCTGCTCTGAGGCTAATGCACAAAGGCACATGGAGCAGAAGCCCATTGCCATGAACCTGCAAAGCCAGGCAAGGCTGAGCAAGTCCTGCTGGTGCTAAGATGAAAGCAAGGTTAAAGAGGGAATGGAGAAGCTTTACTGAGTCTTGAAAGTGCCAACACGGAAGAGTGGGGAGGGTGAATGGGAAGGGAATGGCAGAAACTGGGCACTGTCGTTTTCTTTCTCAATGGTTGTGATTTTGCTCTTTGCAGATGTGCCCCCACGGATACTGGCCCCCCGCAATCAGCTCATCAAAGTGATTCAAAACAACAGGACCCGACTTGACTGCCCCTTCTTTGGCTCACCCATCCCCACCCTGAGATGGTAAGAGCTGCAGCACATCCCTTGCCAGCCCAGAGGGTTAGGAAGGGGAGGTTTCCTCTTTCTTCCCTTACAATAGCACTCTGTGGTGTTGTGAGGTTTAAGAACGGCCAGGGGAACACGCTGGATGGAGGAAACTACAAGGCACATGAGAACGGGAGCTTGGAGATGGAGATGGCTCGGAAGGAGGACCAGGGCATCTACACTTGCGTCGCTACCAATATCCTGGGCAAAGCAGAGGCCCAGGTTCGCCTGGAGGTTAAAGGTAGGGGCACGAAGGGCTCTGGGTCAAGATGGTCTCTTGGGTCCCCTGAAACTTGCAGCAGAAAGAATAGTTCAGGTTAAGGGAGGGTTGGGCTGTGGGCTCCAGCAGCCCGTCGGCAGGATGGGCACTTGTCATTTGAAGCTGGAATCCAGACCATGGTAGAGATGTTCCCTTTTAATGTTGTATAACATTGGACAGTTCACTATAGGAAGCTGGCCGAGCACTTGACGTGCCTGCTTGTCCTTCCCAAGTGACCCCACTCGTCCCTGAGCTAAGCCCAGCAGCTCGGTGCCTGACGCTTCCCTCCTGCCTTGCTGCAGACCCAACGAGGATCGTGAGAGGCCCCGAAGACCAAGTGGTGAAGAGGGGCTCCATGCTGCACCTCCACTGCCGCGTAAAGCACGACCCCACGCTCAGGCTCGCCGTCACCTGGCTGAAGGACAACGCACCCCTGTACATGGGGAACAGGTCTGTGGGCAGCACTGCCGTGGGGCCTCTCATCCGCCTGGGGCGGTGAACGTCTCAGGAGTCACCACGGATAATATGGATGAACGTGGAGGCCTCATCTAGGCAACCTTGGCTCTTCTTGACACTTAGAATGTTACCAGCTCCTTCCAACAGCTCTTGCCTAGCAAATAATATTGATTTATCAGTAAACCAGGAGTTCATAGGTTTTATTTACAGCTATTTCAGGACACCTGGGGCAAAGGGGTGGGTTAACAACAAGCTACTTCAACATGAACGTTTATCTGCTATCAGGTCCAACTACAATTTCCTTTTCCATAGCTGACTCCCTTCTCAAGCAGCGAGATGTGATCACAGGACGTGAACCACTGAGACTGCAGTCCTAAAAGTGTGGTTATTCCCTGTACACAGCAGAGCACATTCACTTATTCCTTAGAAAATGAGATTTCCCAGAATAACTCAACACGTCCTTAGCTGATACCATCTTCAGACCAGCGATGTACTCCTGTTCTCTTTGGGCTTTTATATGTATTTTATCAGAGAACACTTAGACCTCAATCCTGCTGCCTAATGCACTCGGGCACAGTTGTGTGATCATCATTTTCATCCCTTTCAGGATGAAGAAAGAAGATGATGGTCTGACAATATATGGTGTGGCTGAGAAGGACCAAGGGGATTATACCTGCGTAGCCAGCACGGAGCTGGACAAGGACTCGGCTAAAGCCTACCTCACTGTACTAGGTAAGGCTGTCCTAAGTGCTTTGTTTTAATAGAACAAGCTGAAGGTCAGATGGAAAAGGTGATCACAGGATTGTCCTCTGAAGCAGAGATGCTCAAGGAGATGCTGGCAAAGCAATTGTTCCATTGCTGCAGGACTCGGCAAGGACACGCTGCCTGATCTCCGGCTCAGACAATGGCATTGAATGAGTTGAGGGAAACTTGCATTTGAGACAAAAAAAACCCAGAGTGGTTATTACAGAGCTAAAAATACCCAAATGTGGACGCTGAAGCTCTGGGAGAACAGCCCTGAATTTGTCACTGAATTGAACTGAATGTCAGGGTGCTGAGCAACACTGCAAACCCAGGGGTGACCTTGCAGGTCCCCTTTGCAATGCAGACAGTGACAAACCTAAGCCCCTTCCCCATTCCCATTTATGTACCCTGTGAGATCTATTGGTACAACACAGTTCATCAATCCCTGCTCTTGGCCACCTCAGGTCTTGCTGCATTCACAGAGGGCCCCAACCTGGCAGTGCTGCTGGCACAGACCCACAGTGCCCTATAAGAGTGCAACATGAGCACACATGCCCAATGATTGACACGGCTTGAGTTATTTCCCTTCCTTCTCCCCTAATAGCTAATCAACTCTATAACAGGCTGATGTCTCCCTTTGCTGTGTACTACAAGGATGGATAAAGGTGTGCAGAGCTTGCCTGGAGCTCTCTGTGCTGTCCCTCCTCTGGTCCCCAGGCAGGGCTGGATCCTTCTGTAATCCATGATTTTATGTGTAACTTTCTGTTTGCCAGGTGCTGCTCTGGCCACCCAGACTTAAAGACCAAACTAACCCCGTTAACAACCAATGTCTTACCTTGCAGCCGTCCCCGCTAACCGTTTGAGAGACTTACCCAAAGGTAATCACCACTAATTCATGGTGTTTGCTTTACTTTGTGAAATGATTTTCTTTTGCCTTGCCAATAACACCAGCAGAAAACAGCTGAAAAGGTGGGAGCTGAAGCTTCCAAGTCCTGCCCAGGTTGTCCTTGAAAACCCATCCAGATGGCCGCAGGTAGGAAGGTCCTGTGTGTCCCACTTGCAGAGTGCAAGAGTGGCTTTACCCATACCTGGAAATGGTGAGCCCTGGTGGGAGAAAAGCAAATCGCTAATCCCTTGACCTTTGATTGGAAGGAAGTTCTTACTGTTATTGCATGAGCCGGTTCTGTGCAACCCTGTGGGTTGTGAGCAGATACAGAAACCAGGGTTGGTGCCCACTGCATTTCTAACTAGTTTTCATTGAGGTTTTGTGTCCTTTGTTCCATTTGTTCACATTTATTTCTTGGACCGCTGCATGTAGTTTGTTGTAAGCTCTTCTGTCCCCCTGCTCAGCCACTATATTGTGCTTTACTGCCTGAGAAAACCCAGCAGCGGGCAGGGTTTCAAGGCATGGCACTATTAGAACATGAGCGCGTTTGCTCTGCTCCACCAAGAGCTGCAGGATGTGAATGGAGTTCATGTCCTGGGTGCGGGCTGGGGCAGCCAGGGCGAAGCGATGGGAACGGGACTCGCTCCCGGGACAATCCCAGCCTCATTTCTCTTGTTACTCGGCCACCAGAACGACCCGACCGGCCCCGGGACTTGGAGCTGTCGGACCTGGCCGAGAGGAGCGTGCGGCTGACGTGGATTCCGGGTGACGACAACAACAGCCCCATCACAGGTGCCACCGCACCCTCTGCCCGCGTCCATCCCATTCCTCCCGTCCCCTTGCGAGCTGAGCCCTTAACCCCAGCTCCCATCCTCTCCCCCAGACTACATCGTCCAGTTTGAGGAGGACCGGTTCCAGCCTGGCATGTGGCACAACCACTCCCGGTACCCCGGCAGCGTCAACTCGGCCATCCTCAGCCTCTCTCCTTACGTCAACTACCAGTTCCGGGTGATAGCAGTGAACGATGTGGGCAGCAGCCTGCCCAGCGTGCCCTCCGAGCGCTACCAGACCAACGGGGCACGTGAGTACCACCCACCCGCTCCCTCTTGCCGTGGAGACTTCTTGTTCTTAGCTCCTGGCCACCACTCTCCATGTAGACCCCTTCCTCGTGGTGCATGCTCCCAGCTCCTGTAACAGGAACAGATGCGCACAGGTGAGGGAATGAGCTGGTCCATGCAGCACTACTCAGATGGAAAGATTGATGCAAAGGTCACTCCAGCAGAGCCTGTGGAAGGAAAGGCCGGTTCTGTGGTACAGAGAAGCTCCCTAAAGCAAGGCTTTCATCCTTTCTGACCGCAGGAAGCTCCGAAGCCTCTTGGAAAATGAGACTCGAGTGTAAAAGGCATTTTTGTTCCAAAATTGCTAATTCCACTGCCAGAGCTGGCCAGGAGCCCACATCCACGCTATGAGGGTGCTGAGGCGCTGGCACAGGGTGCCCAGAGAAGCTGTGGCTGCCCCATCCCTGGCAGTGCCCAAGGCCAGGTTGGACACGGGCTTGGAGCAAGCTGCTCTATGGAAGGGGTCCCTGCCCGTTTTTATGGTCCCAGCCCACAACCAAGGCTTTTGTCTTCAGTTTTTGTGCCCTGTGGAATTCCTGGGAGAATTCCCACTGGGAATTCACCAGCTTTGCCGTTGCGCGGCATTTCGCACTGTAACGATTGCAGAGCCTCGTCTGCGGTATCGGCTGGCATCTAGTGTTGGGTTTGGGCATTACTCGTCCTGTTTCAGATGCCAAGCGGAGGACTCGGCTCCCGGGGCACAATGGCTCTGTCAATGTAGGACATTCTGAGGGAGAACAGGAAAGAGGCTCCTAAATAAATGGCCTGGTTTTCACCAGCTCTGAGAGGCTCCTGTTCCATTAACCTGAATGGGAGCTTCTGGAAAAATCAGGCCACCGACTTCTGCCTTGGAAGTACTTTTGGCTTGCACAGCGAAGGGGGTTTTACTGCGCCAGTCATTCCCCACCATTATGAACTGCTCTTTATTTTATTTCAATGTGAATTTCAGGTCCTGAAATTAACCCAACAGGAGTCCAAGGTGCAGGGACCCAGAAGAACAACATGGAGATCACCTGGACGGTGAGTTCTTCTGTGCTGCTGGGCCCAGCATCTTACCATCAGGGTCACAGACGCCATGACAGAGAGAACTCAGCATCTCTAGCATGTGTGAGGTACCACGCAGAGTACCAACGCCTTCATGATCAGAAAGGGAATAAAAAGCAGAAGATGCATCTATAAGCGAGGCCATTGTTAGTGCCTAGGAGAAGGTTTGTGACAAAAACACTCATTTGAACTATGTCAGCCAAAGAAAAGATGCTGGGTCAGAGATGCAGGTTAGGGAGGGTGCTCAGGAGGTCTGATCCCTTAAGCAGTACATAGGGCTCACAGAGCAGCTCTTGCTTTTCCTCATGGACCAGCAGGTGTCACCCACAAACCAGCATCTGTAAGGAGGATAGAGACTGCAGTAGCAGCATGGACTGGAATATAAGGCTATGGTCTTGGTCCTGCCTGGGGTCTGGAGGGCAAGGGCTTGGGATGTGACTCTCTGGGAATGAATGCATTGACCTCCTTCGAGATTTGCTGGTGGAGCATGAAATGAGAACCAGCTGCTGAGCAGAACGTTTCAGAGCTCCACAGCAGTTGTTCAATGCAGTTCTTCCTCCTCACTTTGTTTTCCTGTTTTGGTCCATGAAGCCTCTGAATGCAACCCAAGCTTACGGGCCCAACCTCAGGTACATCGTGCGATGGAGGCGAAGGGACCCCCGAGGGAGCTGGTACAATGAGACGGTGAAGGCGCCCAGGCATGTTGTCTGGAACACCCCCATCTACGTACCCTATGAGATCAAGGTGCAGGCAGAGAATGACTTTGGCAGAGCACCGGAGCCTGACACCTACATCGGCTATTCCGGAGAAGATTGTGAGTACTTCCTCAGGCAGAGATTTCAGTGTTTCAGGGCAGGAGCCCCCCCCAGCTGGTGCCTGCGCCTGGGACGTGTTCACAGCACTGCTTGAATGGGCACAAAAACCCAGTTCCAGGCATGGGAAAGAGGCTTGGCCATTGGGTTCTGTCCTGGGTCCTGCCTGCATGACCCAGCTCACTCAGCATCTCCCATGCTCTCTGGAGCACCCAGAGAACACTTTGGGTTTGGGAGATGGTCACATTTCCCTTAGGATGAGGATTGGCTGTATTCCAGCTAAACCCCCATTGAATTCCTTGCCCTGACCTCACCTCGGATGAGAGGTGCTACCCATAACCATAAGGGCTTTGGTTCATCCTGGACTGGATTCTTGTGCCTCTCTATAAGGCCCTGGCTTGGGCTCCTGTTTGCAACACACACTGGCTCAGCTTATCCTAAACCTCTGCCTGGTCCCACAGAACAGCCCCAGGTTGTTTAACTCTTTCCACCTTCTTTCTGGGCTCCTGGTATCACTTTCTGTGCCTGTAGCATCCGAGCTCCTGAACAACTCTCATCCTGCTGGGATAATGAGATTTCCTGACAACAGCTTTATTTTTAAACAAACATATATTAATTCCTTGCATTGCAGCATCAGTGGTGGGTCCCTGGCTGTGTGACTTCAGGAGTACCAATAAGTAAGGTAGATAAGCCAGGTAACCATAGAATCCCTGACTCATTTAGGTTGGAAGGGACCTTAAAGCTCATCCAGTTTCAGTTCTCCCCTTCCCATGCTAAAAACCCAACAGTCAGCTTTTAAAGCATGCACATGTCAGTGAGAAAGAGTGCTGGGCAGGGAGGTGATGCTGTTCTGTGTATCTGCATGGTCATAGGCTCTGCTGACCCCAACTGAAGGCAGCCAGGAGGCTGAGGACGGGCCTGTCACTGCTATTCTATCAAGGTTGGAAACCCTCAGAAACTGACTTTAAGGAGGGAGAAAAGGAGATGAACACCCCCATGAAAACAGGGATGGCAGAGCCTGACAATGGAAAGATGATGGGGGGGCAGAGGGGCATCTGTCTGGTCTTCAGGTACCGCAGGTACCTAACGTACACTCTGCTTTATCCCGACCGCTCAGATCCCAAGGCTGCGCCTACGGATGTTAGGATAAGAGTTTTAAACAGCACTGCCGTTGCTCTGACCTGGACCCGAGTGCACCTGGACACCATCCAGGGACAGCTCAAGGAGTACAGAGTGAGCAACCCCAAACCTCTCTGTGCTCACCATTAATACAGCTAACCTCCTGCAATGGGGATGACAGAAACCGCTCCTCCAGCCATCAAACCCCTCTTGGATGGCTGGGTGCAGACCCAGCTCTGCTCCAGAGCAGCACCAGCAATGAAGGGCTTTGGCTTGGTGCCTGGACAGGGTTGGGGCTGCAGGATCTGAGGTGCTAAAGGCAAGCGGGGCTGCCCTTGTTCGCCCAGAGAGGGACGTGGGGTGCTGCACCCATGCAGGAAGGTGTCCCCTGCCTCTAGAGCTGCCCATGGGGTGGCTGTGGGAAGAGCCACCTCCGATGGGTACCAAGAGGTTAAGTTTTTGTCATCCCCAAAGTTCCTACATCATCTCTCATGGACACCAACCCCTGCAAAGCCTAAACCCAGCGGTCGTACTGACAGACAACTAAAGACAGCTTGGATCCTGGTGTGGTGTGGTTTCTTTTAATGGTGAATATTTATTGCTAAAAACCTAGCATCCATTTCCAGAGGACAGACCCCATTCAAAACAAGCAAAAGTCTGGACAGAGATTAAGCCATCACCAAAAGTACGTGTCCTGCAAACAGCATTTCAAATCCAATGATGTGCTGGGCATAAAGCAAGCTCCCTGGGTACTGCTTTCCTTTTTCCTGCCTCTGCGCTGTCATTCTGGTCTGTTTTCTGAATGAATCTTATTTCTGCATGAAATAAGATTTACAGCCAGGGCTTCAAATGGGAGACTTCCCAAATGCAGGCTCTCCTTTGTGCCTGGACGTGACCCACCTCTCCTTGTCCATCACTACGGGTAGAAAGGGAGAATCACTTGATGCCTAGGGCTTGGGAAGCAGAAAACAGCTCTTTGTAGTCTGACCTGAGTGTTGTGTGACCTTTGGTAAGCTCCTAACCCCGTGCTCAGCCTCTTCCTCGGGTAACACCACTCACCTGCCTTGCCTGGGGGGACGTGGAGCTTCATTAACTCCTCTAAAAGGCTTCTTGCAGCCACGAGATGCTCTTTGGAGAGGCAAAGTTTTGCTCTGCTTTTGTTAATGAAAGAAAACCAACCCTGACACAGGAAAAGCTTCACTTGCCATGCATGTTTCTTGAAGGCCTATTTCTGGAGAGACAGTAGTTTGCTGAAGAACCTGTGGGTCTCCAAAAAACGGCAGTATGTGAGTTTTCCTGGAGACCGAAACCGGGGCATAGTGTCCCGGCTGTTTCCTTACAGCAACTACAAGCTTGAGATGGTTGTAACCAACGGGAGAGGAGATGGGCCACGCAGTGAAGTTAAGGAGTTCCCCACACCAGAAGGAGGTAGGTTCCTTGGGGGGGTGATGTAGGGAGAGGTTTGGGTGGTTCAGCTCCATGGAGAGGTGATGCTGCTGCGGAGATGTGCCAGGGATGAGATTCAGCCGAGCATCTTGTGGGCAGCATCACTGTCACACGGCTCTGCCTTTGTCACCACGGGAGAGGTGACATCTCCGCACCTAGAGCCAACTGCTGGCACTCTCGGCCACCCAAAAATGCCCTCCGGGTGCTTCGAACACATCGGCTCTGAGGTGGAGCAAGAGAGATGTTTCAGCAGCACAGCACAGCCCCTTGCCCTTGATTTGCTGCCTGACCTGCCCATGTCCCCACACCTTCCTGCGCTGCGGGTCGGTGAAGAGGAGGGAACGTATTCGTTGTGCTCAGTAAACGGCAGTCAGATCTGCCCAAGACCCGAGTGCTTTTCTCCTGAAAGCCCATCACTGATACCCTGTCAGGCTGTTCAGGCAAGAGCACCTCATTCTTCTGGTTAAAGAGCTTGTGTCAAGGATGAACTTGAGCTTTTCATTTCCTTGCTGTCACAAGAGCTATTTATAGGCACACTGATACCTTTCCGTTGGAGCTGCACTTCCAGAGGCTGGTGAGGAATCTTTGGGCACAGAACAGCACAAAAATGCAAGAGGAGAAAAGAGTAGAGGCTGGAAGCAAATCCTGTCTCAAGTAACACAGAATACTGTGGTGGTCTTTCTCGCCTTCATCCCATTCCTGCTGCACAAGGAACTCTTGCTCCTGTTTTACCATTTTCTAAGGGGTTTCACTTGATCAGCCTCAAGTCAGCTTGTCCCAAGAGAAGGGACTGTTTCAATAGGGTGGTTTTGCAGTCAGGGGCATTGGATGGAGCTGCTTTACCTGGGTGTTAGAGGCACACAGATTTTGAGGTACCTGTATGGGTTCGGGGTGGCTGTATGCATACATGGGTGGCACTGATTGAAGTGATTATAGTGGATCGGACTCTTGCAATAAGGAAACTCTTGATATATTTTTTCCTATACCATAAGCTATTTTACTGCCCATCCATTCTATCTATATAACATACAATGGTGTTTAGGAAACTGAATGATACTCTGCAAAACTTCTGGATAAGAAACAGAAATCACTGATGCCTCAGATCAGAGCACCGAGTTCTTTCCCCAGTTAAGACACCACAATCATGAGTAAGCCAGGAGAATAACTGCATTCAAGAATGTATAATGCTTTCCTTCCTTTACTAGCTCTGAATAAGCAGTCATAACAGCAGCCAGTCCTCAGGGTAAGGACCACTGTATATGCACAGCACCAGCCCCGTTCTGGATCTCCAGGTGTCAGTAACACAGTGATGCTTTGCCATAAGAGAAGCTGCTCTACTCTTTTTCACTGTTCCAACAGATAAATAGATGAGATGTAGATGCTGGGCTGGGTGGGGGCTGTAAATAAGACCTGTAAAATGTGTGTATAACATAGAGAAGTGGCCCTGAACTGTGTCATAGCTCTGCTTCACACTGCAGCATCCTTCGCGGGTGCTGTGCGGGCACGGTGCTGCTGGGTTGCATGCAGAGCTGCTCTGCTTTCTGCTCCCTGCACACACGCTGCTGAAAACCCTGGCCTGGTGCATGGTTTCTGGCACAGATTCTTGTTCAGTCGCTCTCTGACCTTTAGTGTGTGATCTGTGTGTGTATTTGTGAGCGTCGAGTGCAGCACTCAGCCTGCACTGTGTACAGTATTGTAAGGTATGTTCTCTTGTGTGTTTTCTTTCCCTCTCCTCCCTGCTCCCATCCTCCTCCCAAGTGCCCAGCTCCCCCCGGTATTTAAGAATCCGACAGCCAAACCTGGAAATCATCAATCTGGAGTGGGATCACCCAGAGCATCCCAATGGAGTCCTCACAGGATACAGCCTTAGATATCAAGCCTGTACGTTCCATGTGTTATCTTCTTAGTGATAATAATGGAGCCATTGAACGTGCTCCTTGCTGCTGTTCACCCCCTCCCCTAGCACAGGAAGGTCTCCATAAGGAGCTGGAGACTGACCACAGGGTGAGGCACGGTGGTGCCGAGGGGACCCTGGAGCAGTGCTGGGCAGCTGCAGCACCAGGGAGGGTGGGGGGTGCTCAGCAGCTCACACCAGTGAAGGGAAATGAGCCTGATCTCTGATTTAAAGACCTTCAGGCTCATTCCGAGCAGTTCATGGGCTCACAAGGTCCTGGCTGTATAAGGAATGTGCTGGGAGTGCAGAGCCCACAGTGCCTGGGGCGGGGGGGGGGGGGTCCAGCCTCCTCCGAGACCCTGGTACTTGTGCTGTGCCTCTACAACCCTGAGCATCCCCTCTAGCAGGTCCCCAGCCCGAAAGCCACCAACTGAAGTGCGCTGAGCAGCAGCTGTGGCTCTGAGCACTGACCGCAGGCTGGCCCTGGGGTGAGGCGATGAGGGAGCTCTCGCAGGGTGCTCTGCACCAAGGCTGAAGCCGCCACCGCCTCCCTTTCCTCCCCAGTTAACGGATCCAAAACAGGCCGAACCCTGGTAGAGAACTTCTCTCCCAACCAGACAAAGTTCACCGTGCAGAGGACAGACCCCATCTCGCGCTATCGCTTCTTCCTGCGCGCACGGACCCAGGTGGGAGAAGGAGAAACCCTGGTGGAGGAGTCCCCAGCCCTGCTGAATGAAGGTAGGTGCAGCAGCACCAGCTCCTGGCTCTGCCGAGGAGGGAGGGGGCGAGGGTACCTCTGTGAGCCAGAAACTGCAGGTCAGGATGGGGTGGTCACAGGGCAACCAGTACAAGAGAGCAACTGGTGCTCAGCTACATTCTACTGCAGGACAGACAGAGAAATGGATAGGATAGATAGATAGATAGATAGATAGATAGATAGATAGATAGATAGATACAGATGAATGAATGGATGGATGGGTAGAAAGATAGGCAGACAGGATCGAACACTGCGGCAGTAACGCTATTGAGGTGACTGGGGATACTGTCCTATGCTCCAGGGAACTACCTTGCTGCCCCCTCAAGCAGCCGGTGCTCCTCATGTGCCCAGGAGCAGGAGGGCATCCTGCTCTGCCCGTGCTAAAGGTGAAGCTCCAGTTTACAGCCTCTGCATGAGCTAAGGGGCAGATGTGAGTGATTCTGACGTGGCTCGAAGGGGGTGCAGCAGTTGCATCCCCCAGGGCAGGGGCTCCAGGGCCACCTCCCGGCCACCCCATAACCAGCAGCTGCCCTGAGCCTCCAAAGCAAAGCCCCAGCTCCAGGTTCGTAATCAGATCAAATGCCCATTGTGGGACATTCATCAAACTAAGTGAAAGTTCAGGAGCCCTGAGGGAGCAGCGGGAGACAAAAGCTTTCTCTTTCCTTTCCTTAGCATTTGCTAAGAGACCTATGATTTGGTTAGTGCCCCGATATAATGGGGTTTCTGTCTCTCTTCCATCTCCCCCTCCCCAGCTAATGGCTCTGAGTAGGAAAAGTCATTCCTCCTGATGACCCAGTGGAAATAAAATGCTTCCTGACACCTTTTAGGTGGGCTCCAGCATCGCTCATTGCAGTGACAGGATGGGAGATGGGGCTGCTTATGCTATGGGAGAGAAATCAGCTAAGTTACACCCTGGCAAACATGAGAGAGGGCACGACACTGCTTTAAAAGGATAGAGAACAGAATGCAGATAGAAGCTGGTGGTGCTGGTAGTGGAAAGTTGTAGTTGTTTCAGATCCATTTGCTTTACTGGGTTTGTTTCTATATGCTGAGAAGAGCACAGATAAATAATACCATAACCAACCTTGCTGCACTGACTGGTATCAGGAAATGGCAGGTAAGGTAAGGTTCCCTGCCAGGCACGTAAGTACCATTAGCAGCTCCAAATTCCCACTTGGATATGAAGCTACCTGCTGGAAAGCTACGCAAAAGACAAGCTTGGAATGTAAAAAAAGCAGCAGATTAAGACAATTGAACCCATTAATGCCTTCAGAGGTTGTTTTCTGCTTGCCAGACTCATTCACCTGAGTTTAAATGCAATGCTGACGTTGTGCACCACGGGCTCCAACCCACACAGGGCAGGACGAGCACTGGTGTTAGAAACACACCAGCAAAGCACTGAGGAGAAATTCAGAGGGTCACAAATAGTTTAGCAGAGCTGGTGTGTGTCTTAAGAGGTGATCTCCATCGCCCAAGGGGACATCCCTGCTCTCTGCCCTCTGCGAACAGCGCTGATGCACAAGGAGGGTTGTACCTAATGCATTTATCCCTTCTCTCTCAAGCCTGGTGCCTGTGTGCAAGTGGTCCCTGAGTCTCTTGTTGGTGTGTTCTGGTTGTTTTTATATGTTCCTCTGTTTTCTCTTTCCTTCTCTTCTATGCTGCTCTCTTCGCATTCCCCTCTCTATCTTGGCGCTGCCCTCTGAAGCCACGCCAACCCCAGGTACCGTACCAGCGGAGGAGGTAACAGGCATGGGGCAAGGCTTGCTCGGGGTGCTGGCAGTTAAGCATGCACTCCATTAACCCTTTCAATGGGAAGATGAAGTGGCAGGAGGCTAAATTGGGCTAAATATGAGACGACAGCAGCTAAAGGCAAAGCCCCGAAGGCAGAAAGGGACAAGGGCAGGCTCTGCAGGGGGGGTCGGCAGAGATCAAAATATCTCTGAATGGGGCTTAAGAGCCTCCCAGCTGCCTAATGACAGCCACGGCCACGGAACAGTGCAGCTGCCACCGATGATGAGCGAAAGCGAGGGTCGAGATGCCCTCTTAAAGAGGTTTTTCATCCCAGGTCTGCACAAAGCCCTCTCCCTTTTGAAGCCTCAACACCCCCACCCAGCCCTGACTCGGTGGTGCCCATCCTGCAGCCGGGCTCTGTCCTGCAGGATTTAAGCTGGAAAGCAGCTCCCGGTTGCTGCTGGAGCTGCTGCCTCCCCTGGCCGCACAGGTCTGTGTGCAGCGTGCGGGCACCACGAGCCACTCATCTCCCCATGGTTCTTTGAGGGCTTTTTGTACAGGAGAACCCTTTTATTCCCAGGTGCCCATTGAAAGGGTTAAGGACAATGTTTGTGCCGCAGCTGTGCATGTCTGCATGCGAGGCTATTGCTGGCTTTGCCCTCGACTGCGTGTTCCTACAGCAGAGAGAACCCTTTTCTGGTAACAGGGGCAGCATCTCCACTGCTTCCAAGGAACCCCAAACCCCACTTTCACCCGATGTCAACCCTGCAAAGCAGAACTGCTGGCTGCCCACAGGGCGCCCGCCTCATACCAAAGCTGCAGATGGGACTTTCCCCCCCACCTCCAACACCACCTTTGAGCCAGTGTTTCAGGACCAGGGACCCTTTGAGCCCCGTGACCAAAACGTGCCCTAAATGCTTTTGGTCTGGAGCATCAGCACTCGCTGGCCCCGCACCAAGGGCTCTGTAAGAGGTCCTGCTTTGCCTTGGCTGGACACAGCCCTGGGGCTTCCCACAGAGGAACAGCTTCTTAGGGAAGGCTCTCCCCAAGTGATGCAAGTGCAGGACCTGCTCTCTGCACCCACAGGTTTTGCTTTCCTACCTCATAGATGTTTCTCCTCCTTTTATTTTGTTGCAGTGATGTCTCCCTACCCACTATAATTTTGCATTTCCTTTTCCTTTCTGAACAGACGCCAATCTTTTTCTTGCTGTATTTTTCCTCTTCCTAAAAAGAAATAAAGGGGGTAACAGATTGGTCTGCTTTGGGTGGTGGGAAACTGTGCACGGACATCACCTCTTAGCTTAGAGGATCTCTGTCCTAGGAGTCTAGGGTGGCTCTTTTGCTGCTATAGCTCCTACTTCAGCCAGAGTTTAGCTTGTCCACAAGAATCCAGCTTTTCCTTGTGGATCAGGATTACCTTCTAAAGTACCTTTCTATTGCTGAAGCTGGAAAATGCAATGTGATCTCTTTAGCCTTCCAGCCGCATCTCATTTCAATTTCCCCCACCACTGGAAGCTAGGTAAATTATTTGCCATTTAAAGGATAACTCAATGACAAAGCCCACTGCTCCCTTGTATTTTACCTTCTGATAGGAGAAATAATGAGCAAAGATAGGCCAGAGCTGGAAGAAGTGCTGCCTGGAGTAGTAGGTCACTGAGTGCTAACTCAGCTGTGTTCACAGCTCCTCACCGTGCTGGGCTCCAGCAAGAGGAATCAAGGCAGTGTGAGCCATGGTGAGACCCAGCACATGTCTTTGTCCCACTCTTGAGCAGGGTCTCATCTCCTTAGCTGTGAGAGCTGTTTGTCCCAAGAGGCTGTTTCTCCTCCCCACAAGGACAGGGTTCAAGTGAAACACTGCCTGACCTTCCTCGGAGCATCCCTCCCTGCTCAGTGACCCAGATTTTTGTGGATCTTTACGGATTCACAGTGAAAGTTGTCTTAAACTGCAGGAAAATGCTCTTTGCCATGGGCTGCTGGCACTAAGGATGAGAACAAGGCCTTTTTCTCAGGAGTAACCTCACATAGACAGGGTCAGAGTGGCTTTGGATGCGTTTGAGAAACTGGACCAGCCTGAGGAAATCAAAGTGAAGCGCGAGGACTTTCCTGCAGGAAAGGCTTTATCTTTCCTGAAGCCAGATCTGGGCAAAAGGAGAGGTGATAAAGGAAAAGGGAGGACATCTGAAAAGGGCTCTCATTTAGGGTATGGGTGAGAAAAAAACCAAAACTGGATCCTAGATTACCCACGTGTATGGAAAAACTTCATCAGAGACTGTAACGGTCGTTGGTCTTAGGCTTTAAGGAAAAAAGATGGACTTTTCTCTGTTCCCTTCTTGTCCCTCCATAATTAGGAACCGGAGGAGAAAGATCCTATTGTTCATTTTAGAAACAGCAGTGGAACAGCAAGAACTGCTGACCCCTCTCTTTCAGAGGCTGCTCAATTGCTCCTTTCTATTCTTGACTTTCTTAGAGCTATCGGATTTGGGACACTTTAGGGTAAAGACTTCACAATTTCCTTCTGTTGTTAAAAGCTGGGAGAGGGTGAGGAGAAACAACAGGAAAATCTCTGCAAATGTCTTTGGCTGCTGATCAAAACCCATGAAAAATTCATCCCATTTCTCCAAGCCTAATTATTTTGTAGACACACCCAAGGGAAAGCTCTTCCTACAGCCCAACACCACATTAAAAGCACCTTTAAATAATTAAAGAGACATATGGCTGGGTGGTGTTCCCTGTGTTTTGCACCAAACCCCATGCAGCCACTCCCTGCAATGCCGGAGCAGGACTCGAGCCCCACTTTCAAGCCCCCCCTTTTTGCTTTTAGGAGTCTTCCGCTCAGGTTTTATTCCACACAGCTTTTTGGGCTCCTTCTTCCTGGCCGCTCCTGGCCAGAGGAGCCAGGCTGCAGCAAGGAGCTCAGCCCTCCTGCTGCAAGCATTTCCCTCATTACTTAGCCTATTAATTGCTGCAGGCAGAGTGCTGCCTCCCTGGTCCATTATAGCCACCCATCTCCTCTGCTCTGCGGTCTCCAGTACCTGAGAGGGTAATAATGCATCTTGCAGACAGAAAAAGCATCTTAGCGAAGATGGGGCCTCCAAATGAGCTGGATGCTCCTTGAGATGGTTCCAGGAAGATGGGCAAGGCTACGGTGGGAGCAAGAGAAGGGAAACTGCTGGTGCTGGCTTTTGCTCTGGGGATGCTGGGTGTAGTGGGGTGATTTCAAGCCTGTTTCCAGCATTTGGGAAAGGGACAAAGTCCCTTTTCTGCATCGCCTCCTGCTTTCAGAGAGGGGAGACTGTTTTCCCCCATCACACAAACAGTAGAATTCCAGAGGAAAGAGCTTCTGCCTAAGAGCTCATCCCAGTCTCCCCTCTGGCAGGTTAAAGCCATTCCCCTTGGCCTGTCCCTACAGGTCCTTGCCCAAAGCCCCTCTCCAGGTCTCCTGCAGCCCCTTTAGGCACTGCAAGGCTCAGTCCTGTATTTACACTTGAGGCTAATGCTGTCAGAGCTCTCCCCAGAGCCCCACGTTAGGAAGGGTGCCCTGCAGGGCTCCGACATGCCAGCCCTGAGGGAGAATTGCAGCTGCTTGTGTAGGAGGATGTGTGCGGGCTGGGTTTCACTGCAGTGCTGGCAATGCCTGGCCGCCCGCCCCTGTGCCCCCGTGCTGCTGGGAGCAGGGATCTGTGCCTCTGCAACGAGCCCTGGCAGGGTGGGCAGCGAGGGGGGACCCCAGCACCCCAGGGAAGGGCTGAGGCTCCCCATGGCGGGGGGCCCTCTTCTTTGGGGCGCTCTGATCTCTGTCAAAGGCCGCTTCATCTCCTCCCAGGCTGGAACCGGCTCTCATTAGGGGCTCGATTTCAAAGCCTAGAAAATGCCCCTTATCTTCTCTCCCCCAAATCTCCCAGCTGAGCTTCTCCCCCGCATACATTTCCCATTGAAACACAAATGAGGCTGCAGCTTTGAATCCCAAGGCAGCTTAAGACTAAATCCCCTCATGGCTGCGGGAGCCCTGCCCAGCTGTAGTCACCTTCCTCCATCCTGCAGCATCCTCCCCTCTCTGAGCTATTGCTTCCCAGACTCCCCCATCCCACTTTTCCCCTGCTCCTTGTCCTTCTGGGACCATTCCTACCCCCAGTGCCATCACCCCCTCCTCGATCTCACCGAGGGACCTGCTCAGGAGTGAGCTGGCATCATTATTCCTCTTATATTGTGATATCCCTGCTCTCAGGGATTGCTTCCATTAGTGCTGGGTGGTTTGGGTAAATCCTGCCAGCCAGAGCTGAGCAGCACAGCCTGATGATGAATGGGTCAATGCAGCATCCAGGAGGGTCTTGGCACTGCAGATTCACCTGCCGTGTATATCTGCATGTACTACATAAAGATGGTGCCCTACACGAGAGATTGCAAAGCTTTGCCTTATCCCAGATAATCTCTTCCCATCTAAGGGCTAGAGGAGCATTAAAGCTGAAGCTCTCCTTCTGCTAAAGCCATTACAGCAGTGTTAGGTGATGCAGACAGTCCTCAAAGGGAGATGCGTGATGCAGAGACAGGCCTGGGAGCTGGAGAGGGGGCTTGTACAAGGTTTCCCACCAGCTCCTGCCTTTCAGCAAGTTACTTTGTGCCTTCTTCAGTCTTATTTTCCTTAAAGGGGAGCCAGGCATTCACGAGGGAAATGCTGGGACTGCAATAGCTAATAACCAGTGTCCACAACGCTGTTTGTGTCCATTGCAAACCTATTGAGGAGCTGCAGCTTAATCAGGGTAATGGTGGCATTAACCTGGTGACACCAATCTCTTAACCTCTGTGAATCAGCAAAGATGGATAGCCATATTCTCAACTCAAGAAAGGCTTTTGTAACGTATAAACCCAGAGCACAGCAAAGCCTTTCATCAGGAACCAGGTGATGGGGACCACAGAATCCCAAACTGGTTTGTGTTGGAAATGACCTTAAAGCTCATCCAGTGATGAGCTGGGAAGGTGCAAACCCCTGAGGACAAAGCCGTGCCATTTCCTATGGGAACAGGTCCCCTCCCTGTCCCCAGCCCCTTGCCTGGCCGTGCAACGCGGGGTGCTCTCTCTGGGTGGCTGCACTGCTGCATGGGGCTGGCTGGATGCTGCGTGGGGCACACCCTGGGGTGGGCTGGTGGGTTTGGGATGTGCTGGTACCCGTGGAGATGGGCTGAGTGACCTACTGCTCTGCTCTGCTGCTGCTGGATCTCTGTGGGAGCTGAGGTCTCAGGGCTTGGCTCGCAGTGGTGAGAAAACAAGCCCTGGTTTAGTTCTTGGAGACCTTTTAAAGTGCTTCCTTGGGCTGTTTGTGTTCGTGGGTGATATTTCCAATAGCTGGGTTCATTTGCCTAACGGGGATTTGTAATCCCTCCATCTACACTCAAAGTAAATATAACTGAATGCAAGTATCGCAGGGTGAATCTGCTCATTTACCTCAGGCAGTTCAAGCAGCATTTCAGCTGCATTCTCAGACCCAAGCCATTGCAGTTCACTTTGGTGGTGGTCAGGATCCCCTTGACCCCACAAAGTGCACATTGAGCCCTTTGCTCAGCGCAGGTGAGATGTGGACGGGGGCTATTTAGAAAACAAGTTGCTCAGACTTTCCCCTTGGACAGTTCGGGATGCATCAATCCCTTTATCCTAATTCAAGTGTAAATTGTGAGGGGTGGGGATGGCAAAGCACCGTCCATCACTCACCAAAGAGCAAAAATCCACCTTAATGCTCAGGCTGCTCCATCACAGGCTGCAGGATGAGACGAGCCAGGAAGGGAATGGCTGAGAAGCTGCAGGCTGAACTGGCAGCTCAAAAAAATGCTGGAGGTGTAGTCCAGAGGCTGCTGAATTAAGGGGATTGTGGCAGGCCTGGCCCACGACAAAAGGGATTATTATGTTTTCTTAAGAGATAAATCCTGTTTCTTACTGCAGGGAGCTCTGAGTGCTCTCAGTGCCAGCAATGTGCTGGGGGATGACGGAGCAAGGACAGCCTGTCCTGTGCCTGCCCCAGACACCCTTCACACCCCTCCTTCCATCCCTCCATTCTATTTAAGACCAGGGTATTGGGGAGCACTGGCAGCAGAGCAAAGGCAGAAGCGGGTCCTGCAGCCCTGGGAAAGGGGTCAAGTGGAGGGTGCACAGGGGCAGCCCCTCTTTGCCCCAGCATCATTCCCTGCCTGTGACCGGCTCCGCGTGGGGATGGGGATGGGACAAGCGGGTCAGGCTCGTGTTTCCCAGTGCTGTTGCTGCCTCTCACCCCTGTCCCTGCGCTGTCTGCTCTGCTCCCCTCGCGTGCCGCATGTCCAGCCTTGGGGATGGCGAGTGCAAGCCCCGAGGTGCCATCACCTCTCTAAAAAGCCAGTGTTTCCCTCTCCCAGCTGCAACTGGGGTGCCTCCAACTACAGTCGATCTAACCAGTACTACAACCACCCCATCTACTACCACTACTACCGACACTACTACCACCACCACCGACACTACTACCACCACCACCGACACTACTACCACCACCACCACTACAGCCGCCACCATCGCCGCAAGCACTACAGCAGCTACAGAGAGGGCTCCGGCAGCCACCACAAAGCAGGAGTTGGGTACTGCGCTTTCCTTTTTCTCTAACCCCTCTAACCCTACTGGGACCTTCCCTGCATCCTGCCCAGAGCCAGGGTTAATAACGGGCACAGGGGAAAGTTAAGGCATTCCACACTCTGGGAATGGCTTGGTGTGGAGATGGAGGTGGCACAGGCTTGGGAATTCACGTGCACAAGTGGCTCCTGGCAATCTGGGGGTCCCTGTGCCACCCTCCTGGTCTACTCTCAGGGCTAACACAGCTCTCCCTGCAGTGCCGTGGTGCTGAACTAGCATCAGTGCTTGGGAAGGAGGTGTAAGACCCTACGAAAGCTCTCTGAAGTATTATCTCATGTCTTTCTGCCATTAAAAGGGGGTTCTGTTACTGTTATAGATGTCACTTCAAATTTAGCCCACCAACTGTTAGCTAAGAGACCTGTCATCACTTATATGAGTCTTTTGGTTTATGCTCCTGCTCTTTGTGATGGAACCTAACCATAGCCCACGGGAGAGCTGGGGAAGTCTTAAGCTCCTGCACGCAGGTGTGCACCAGGTCAAGAGAAACTCCTCGTGCAATCAGCTAGGGATGGGGTGCTCAAACTCTGCTTTGGTGAAGGCATATCCCCCCGATCTGTGTTCTGCTGATAGATGCAGAGAGCTGTATCCCACTGAGCCTTGGTCTGAAAACACTGCTATAATGCAGTCTACACTTACTAAATAATTATGGGCAGTTATACTCAGGTTAGTCAGAAATAACTCAAGCTAGCAGGAAAAGGAGAATGCAGTCGAAAGAATACAGCTGCATGGCTGGACAGGATACACTCAGAGGTGCAAAAGAGAGAGTAGCAATAATGAGGATCAAAGTTGACACCCATTTAACTCAGAAACTGGATTATTCAAGCTGTTCAGTCCCCTTTCTTTACATTCTTGCATAAGATTAGCTCAGGACGGTTAAAACCCCACCAAAACCATGTGCTGAGAGGTCCTGCCTCCACCCGATGCTCTGCAACTCAGAGGCACATTTCCTGCTCTGTGCTCATCCCGGTGCAGCCCCGACCCAAGAAACATGAATTTGGCACCTCTCCAGCCAGTGAAACCATTCCCTGGGCGCTGAACCACAGCAAAACCACCTTAAAAACTGGTGGAAGACAGACAGAGGAGCTGCATCCTAGAGATGAGGTCCTGGTGATTGCTCCCACGACACAGCCGCTGTGCAGTGACTACGTGGGGAAGCACTGCTAACTGGAAACAGGCAAGCCAGTGGTGAGGTGCACGCTGCTGCAGAGCAGGGAGAGCACAAGAGGAGCTGCAAGAGGAGCCACCCGTGTCCCCAACCGCCCTGGGGACAGAGGGGAAGAGGCTGAGCTGTAATGCAGGCAGACAGGGCAAGCGTGTGACAGCACAGGTTGTGCTTGCAAGAGGGATTCTAGGTCAAGTTCCCAAGCTAGGATGCCCTAAAAGCCCCAGCACCGGGGACTGCAGTTACTGATCTGTGTTTTGTCAACCCAAAACCTCAGCTGCACCCTGAAGTAAATAACAGCAATAAAAGCAAGGTGCGACTTACCTGATGCCACTCACGCACACACTAAACCAGTGCATTAGCTCTAGTGGCTAGAAACGAAGTTCATCCGCTCTCCAAAGCAACGTCGACAATCCTTAACTTCAAAATCAGAAACGAGTGACTTCATTGCCCCACTGGCTGTCTCTAGACCCAGTAACACGACAATGTTCTCTCCCAGTCTTCCCTCCTCCGTTGTGGCAGGGAGTCCGTGTGCACTCATGCATGTGTCCGTTTGGACATGAGTTTAGTCAAGAGATTTCCCTGCAGACCGAAATCCTCAGGGATGTGCCACAGGAGCCTCCAGACTCCAAAGATGAGCTGAGGGCAGTTGGACTTAAACACCAACACACAATGAGCTTCTGCTACCAAACCTCCCGCAAAGGTTTAAAATGAGGGATCTTGGAAAGAACAAATATATCCTTAGGGACTTAACTTGTAGGTTAAGACCAAAGCATTAACATCAGGCATGACTCTGTAAGGTTGTACCAACACCAGATGCTAGATGGGGTCTCATTCATGTATAATCCAAAATACTAACTCCTCTTCTAACCTGTCCACCAGCCACCAATGGATCGTCCATATGGGACATAAGAGCTATGGCTAATAGTAACTGGGCAAACATCACCTGGAGCCACAATTACTCTGCAGGAACTGACTTTGTGGTTAAGTATATCACCAGTAAGCATCAGATCGCGTGGGGACTCTACAGGGTGGCGACGCCAGTAGAGATCCTGCCAGCTCCAGTGGTTGCAACCTTGATGAGGGTGTGGAATGATGCTCTGTGCCCATGCGGAGGATGGGGAAGGGAAGGCAGGTCATGGTCTTGGCTGTTGAGAGGGCACCAGAGCTAATCCTGGTGCTCTACAAGTGATTCCCCCTCCTTGCGCTTACTGCCACAAGATAGGGCTGTATGTGGTCACACATTAAAGAGCCTGAAAATATAAATATATATGTGTGAAAGAAGAAAAACCTTTAAACAAGTGAAATTATCTAAATTGGAGAGCAGTTTGCAATGGCTTTGAAAATGGGCTTCTTGAACCTGGAGTTGGCAGAATCCTCTATGATCCCAAACCTCCCGTCGTATCGGATATCATTGTCTCTTAACATTGTAAGGCTACATCCTTGGTGTGGAAACTCAAAGCTGGTATCTCTGCTTTTAGTACTTGCTTAGAAAGATGTTTACATGTTGTTGGTTGGTTGTTGGGGGTTTTTTTTATAGATAGGCAGTTACGACTACTGCTTATCTCTGACTTTTATTTCCCAGCCATTTCAGCCCTCACATTATTTAGTAGACCAGTCTTAAATCAGCATTTATGAACCGAGTAGGTGTGATCATTGAGAGCAAACCACTTTTGGCCATTTACAAGATCACTTAAAGATGACCTTGATTTCTCCTTGAAAGAGTTTCCAGCACACAGCCAGTGCCTGGCCTTGCTCTGCAGCCTGCAGGGCTTTGGTAGCAGCACAGGCTGGGTAGCTCTCAGCCTTCCCAAATTCAGCATCCACATCAGCTTCCCAAGTCCTAAATGCCAAGTATCCAAGCTCCCAAAGCACCCACCGCCAGCGCTGGGTCTTCCCCATCACTGGGAAGCACAAAGTAGGGGCAATGCTTTCCCAGAGCTGGGTCTGGGATCAGGATGGGCTACAGCAGCAGTGGGTTAGGATACCCTTATCAGCATCTGGATGAGAGGGAGGAAATCCAGGACATTCCAGCCCTTTGTAGTGTCACTTGAAGCAGGCAGCACTTTTTCTGCCCCAAAGCCTCCCTTCTCCTTCCCCACGGCACGGGAGGTGCGCACCTCCAGAGCCACAGACCAAAGCCTCACTTCCAGCTCGCTTAGAATTCAGTGGATTAATGCTCAGCATTAAACTCAGCAGCAAATGATTCCTGACACAGTGCAAAGAGCAGCTCATCCCTGGATAGAGCCTGGGAGCAACCACCCCATGAGCTGAAGGACCCAGCTCCTCTCACCCCCAAAAGCAACAGCCTGCTAGCAGGGGTGAGCAGTCCCACAGCATGGCTAGCCCAGTATCTAGCTCATTCAAAGCCTCCTTAAGCTGCCAGCAAAACCAGTGCCCAGGTCCCACTCCCAAAAGCACAAGAACTGGCTCCTTCACTGAGTCCTGCAGCATCTCCATGCAGCTGAGGAGGACCAGGCAAAGGCCGTATTTTGAGATAAATTCCCAACTATTCAGACCTGAGGCTGGGCAGATAAAGGCTCCATCAGGGCTTAAAAGTAGGGAGAGACCTGGATAGCTACGGGTCTGTCTTCCCAGCACAGAAAGGATGCAGCCAAACCCACTCCATATTCCTGCCTCACTGAGCTCCTTCTCTTCTCAGTGAGTAATGATCACAAAGCCATTAACAGCTCCTTGCCCACCCAGCTGGGTTATTGCTGCTCAGTGGCCAGGGACAGTGTAATGCGTTGCCTGCAGTGTCAACACGGGAATCTCTCCGCGCCTCCTGCGGCTGGGTTTGATGTGCGGTTTCTGTTTCTCAGGTAACAACACAGAGAAATCTATCCCTGTTAAAGCTCAGACCCCTTCCTCTGTGCAGCTGGCGAATCTGACGCCGGGAATGATGTACAAGCTGTGGGTGTTCCCCATATGGTCTAGCCCCAGCGAGCACTCGTACATAACCTTTACCACCAGCTCAGGTGAGACGGGCTTCAGCGCTTCCGAGGCATGTCACATCCATCACCACCAACGTCATTCGCGTGGTGGCGGGAGGTGGTTTGACCATGACTGCATGGGACAGCCCTCATCCAACCCCAGTGGCCCCCTCCCCATCTCTGCCTTTATGAAAGAGCCACCCCAGCATCACCAGGAGGTTGCTCTGCGTGGCACGGAGGTGGAGAGCCCCAGGAGGGGACGGGGATCCCTTTGAAGGAGGGGGGAGAACTCCTGTTGCCAGCGGCTCTGCTTGAAGCCCTGCCACTGCGTCTCCACTTCCACACACGCGTTGCTACTCATGGTGGTGGTGGTGCTTTGGCCCTGGAGAACGTGCACGTGGCTGGCCCCCGGCTGTGGCAGAGGGGCAGGCGGGGAGAGCCTGGTGATGGGACAGAGGCGAGGGGCAGGAGCGGGAGGGAGAACAGCGTGTTTGCAGACCGCCTCAGTCCTAGTCACGTATAACTTGGGTTTCCCATCCTCCAGCTACCTTTCCTCTGGCAACATCACATTTAATTGCACAAGCAATTTCCAGGTTTAGCACCTGAGTGATTTTTACAGCTTTCTACTGATGGGCTTTGCACTCTGCCCACCGAATGCCCGAGAAACCCCCTTATTGCCTTCCATGGGTTCTGTATTGAGCTTTATGCATTTATAAACCATCACCGTTCACACTCGATGAGTTTCAGTAAATCAAAACTTCCCCTGTGTTCACCCGGGGCTTTGCTGTAGGAATCTGTGCACAACGTCCTCCCAAAGCTGAGAAACCAAGCAGCAAGCACCACTGAGCAGCCCACACCGAGAGAGGTGGCAGAGGGAGGCTGTGATTTCCAAAGACCTGCAATTATCTTGCTCACGTCCAGCCGTGTAATGGAAAGCTCAAGCACTGATTAAGTCTCTCTGCTGAGAAGTGCAAAAGGGAAACGCAATGCACAGCAAGGGAGTGCTGGAGGGGCAGCAGCTCCCCCCGCATTCCCTATGCACATCTTATTTGGTGTCCAAAACTTTGGCAAGCCGTAGCACTGCTGATTAATTCCCTGATGTGCTAAGATGATGCAGGGACAGATGGCAACCGCTGGTGTTTCTGCATGGCTAATGCTGCCCAACACTGAGAAACAACCTGCAAGTGCTGACCTTGGCTCTGTCCTGCCCCTGAGGTCTAATGTGACCATTCCAAACCAGACACTAAAAGCTGATTTGCAACTCAGTCTCTCTCCAAAACAGCTCCAGGGTTGCATCCCCAATTTGGTTTCTTGCTTCTGGACCCTCCCGTGCCTCAAATCGCCACCGGCTCCAGAGCCCCCATTCATACCATGCAACGTGTGTTCCTGGATGAGTATTTCCCAACCCGGACCCGCCTTTTGTCTTTTCTCCCCTGCTTTTCACCCACTTTGGGATGTGGGAGGTAGAGGGCAGAGCCCCTGCACAACAGACAGGAAGGGCAGGGAATCATTAGACAGAGAGGGGGGAAGCAATATCCTTGGCTGATGGATGCTGGCAGTCTTGGCATATCTATTTTCTGTAATTGAGGGGTTCCTACTGATGTTATCATTGAGACTAAAGGATGGGGCCACTTTCATCCCTGTGATAGAGGCAGATGGGTGACCTGAGCCCTATCACAGTGGGATGCAGAGCTCTCCCCATCCCTGCATGCATAAATGCTGCAGATCCATTTTGCTGCTGGCTGGATCCTGCTGCCACAAGCGTGTGGTCCCTGCTGACAACCATAACCCATCAGGAATGCTTCTGACAAAGCAACAGCAGCGTTTGGGGTTTGTGCCTTTGGGTTTTGTGTTTTGCAAATAGATTTGCCAAACGGTCCTTCAGGTTGAGGGCAGGTAAGAAAATCCACCCGCACTGTGGCTGCAGGGCACTGCCCTAGGACTGCTTCTGATCGAGAGCTCAGGAACCAGGGCTCTTTCCAGCAGGAAAGGACACATCAGAACTAAAACCATAGAATTCTACCATTTAATCCCAGCCTGGTTGGCGTTGGAAGGGACCTTAAAGCTCCTCCAGCTCCAACCCCCGCCACAGGCAGGGACACCTTCCACTAGAGCAGCTTGCTCCAAGCCCCTCTGTCCAGCCTGGCCTTGAATACTTCAAGGAAGAACTTTGTCCTATTATCTAACCTGAATCTCCCCTCTTGTCAGTTTAAAGCCATTCCCCCTTGTCCTGTCCCTACAGCCCCTTGTAAAAACACAGCTTACTACAAAGAGATCTGTATTTAAAGAAGAACTAAAACTCCCCGGCGTGTACAGACACAGGGAAGAGGACCGTGTGAGACTTCACACACCTAATGGTCTGCTTGACAAAGGAAGACAAAAATGCTGCTGCTCTGTGGGTGGAAGACAGGTTTGCTATTGGCACACACACAGTGACTGCTAGGTACTGGGTCTTCTGCGACAGGATTCTAGCTCATTATAAATAAGACCGCTGCAGTTGCATTTCCAATCAATCCCCGTTGGATCACGCAGCTGCTTTCCACTATTTCCCCTTGACGCTGGCCTTGTGCGAAAGCAAATCAAAACACCCTCTCTGACAGCCGCAGATTTAATCTCCCCTTCTCAGCGCTGCAATGACAGTCACTCGTTTACTCAAGTACACGATTGCTGGCACTATCAGCTTGTCGTCATGTGTTGCTTTTCTGGGAAGGATGGCAGTTATCCCCCTCCCTCGGTGCTAGGCAGTGCCACGATCCTACTGCAGGATCCCCTCGGTCCCCAAAACCCTCCCTCCCTGTAAAACCCAATCTGCCTGGTGGCACAAACCCACTTCTCTGAGGACCCCCTTATTCCTCTTTGGCAGGGGTTTCTGTAGGAACCCCATCCCACCAGGAGCACCAATACAATCGTTTTCCATTTCAAAGCTTCCCAGTAAAGCTTTCCTTCCCCTTCCCTCCCCGAGCACTCAGCTAATTGAATCCAGTTCTCAGCTCTGCTGCTCTAATCTCATTGTCTCCTTTACAAGCGCACCTTTGAGGACCTTGTAGCTCAGGTTGTACTGAAGGTACATATTAAATGTGGCAGCATTAGAGGGAAGGGAAGCGGGAGGGAGCCAAGGCAATGGGAGGCAGGAGCTTGGCGCTGCTCACAGTGTTCAGGATCTGAGATCATTTCTTTAGCAAACAGAACTTTTTGGTCATTCTCCTCTTCCATCTGATTTTCCTTGTCACAGTTTGGCTGCAATTACCTTAGATTTCATCCTAAGGAAAGCACCTCTTCTCTTGGATTCAGTCTGCATGGAATAAGTACATGCTTAGAGCCGCGAGATGGTGTGGGTTAGGAACTGAACCAATTCAATCCGGTTTCAAAGCTGCTGTCTCTTACAAGAACCTTTCATTCAGAACAGGTTAAAGGAGGGTTCCCTTTAATGTTTGCTTTGGAAGCACCATCCTGGGTTTTGTCACACGGGCACCAAAGAGGATGTTTGCTGCATCAGCCTGGCCCGTTTCAGGCAAAACCCTGCTAAATCCCAACTCAGTCCCATCCAGCTCGGCTCTCCCGTGCTCCTGCCAGGAATACCCATCTCTGTTTGCACTGCAGCCTGGTTAAATTTAGCCCCCCCCGCTGCGCTGAAGGTTATTTTCTCCTCTGCTCTGTCTTGCTGAATAAGAAGTGCATGTCAATGAGAGCCAGAACATGGCAGCCTGCTGCTATTTATAGGACACAGATTTGTCTGTGTGACCGTGTATGGGAGCTGCAATCAAGAAGTCAGAGTACGTGAGGGAGGACACGGGCGTTAAGAGCCACAGTGGTGGCTGGGGCACAGGGCACCTCCTTGCTTGGTATGAACCATATTAGCATTCAACAGCCTCATGAGGGTGCTGGGAGCAGTGCTATAGAGCTTGCCCGAGGAGAACAGACCTCTCAGTGTGCCCAGGACACCTCTCATTACCCAGGACCCAGCTATCAGTCCTCAATGAGCTGTTCCCACCGTGTCCCAACTCGGCCTTTGGCCAAGTCTTGGTGGGCTTCCCCAATCCCCTCTTTTCCCCTCATTGGAGAGCACCCAAAAGCAGCAGTACCCCTGTGGGGTGGCAGCAGAGCCACTACCCATCACCTCTGTAATCCCTGCACGAGCAAGAATCCCAGTTGTTCCCACCCTCTGGACCCAGGGGTGCTCCTCAGCCCCACTGGACACCAGGCATGGATCTGCTCAGCACATCTCCTTTAGACCTTGGTGCTTCCAGGGCAGTTTTCAGACACAGCAAATGAAAGATCAGATCTGTTACCCAGCTTCTTTTGCCATTATTTGCAATGTCCCTTTCTCTCTGGTCTGTGCTAGGTTTTACTTTGTGACCCTTTGGAGCTCCTGCTAAAACGTTAAGTTGACCCAATGCCACAAAAGGAAACAAAAAGCCAGATCCCTGTGCCACAGCCTCAGATAACCTGGTCAATACACGCAGACACACACCAATGCAGTGCTACAGACAATGTCTAAACCAGTGGACTGTGTCTTACAATCCCCTCTGTGCTGCTGGCCTGTCCCTTACGGGTTTGGTTATTTTCCCTTTCCATTTTCCTCCCAGCTTACACCAAGAACCACGTGGACATCGCCACGCAGGGCTGGTTCATCGGGCTGATGTGCGCCATCGCTCTCCTGGTCCTCATCCTGCTGATCGTCTGCTTCATTAAAAGGAGCAGAGGTGGGAAATACCCGGGTAAGAGCCTTGCATGGCAATCCTTTGTGCTCATGGTTTAAACATCTCCAGGCTTCTGGGGGCTAATCAGATCGGCTTGCTCTCGGATGGATGCTTGTGATTACAAGGGCTTTGCTTTCTCTGTAGTGGGAACTCTTATTAGTGGGAAGCATTGCAGTTCATTACAGCTCTCTGGTGAGGGCTCAGTGCTGCAGAGGTGGATCCTCCTGCGATGCTCAACTCAGCCTCTAACTCTGCAAATTCTCTTGTCCTCATCTAGAAAAGGACCTTTGCAGGCCAAAATGTCATTAAAGTTTTGCAAAGCAAAGATAAGGCTTAAGGGAATTCACATCCTCACTCCCTATCTGAGCCCTGGGGCCACTACACACCAACACCCCTTGCAAGCCCTTCCTGGTGCTGGGGTTTTACCAGGCAATGAAAAGCTGTACCTCACCCTTCAGGTTTCTCACAGCCTCAACACCAGCTGCTGTTACATCCCATAAAGCTTTTACCTCCTGCACAGCTTTTTAACGTGAACATTGCTGATGTGCTTCTTTCCAGTACGAGACAATAAAGACGAGCACCTCAATCCTGAAGACAAGAATGTAGAAGACGGGTCGTTCGACTACAGGTATGCTCCCATTGGCATGTGTCCCCATGGCTCCCCATCAGCCCCACTCCCAGCCATCACAGCCCTCACCTCCTCCTGCCTCCTTCCCTCTGCAAGCCCTCTACCAAAGGCAACATCTCCTTGCCTAAAACCCTGGAAGAGGAACCAGGCTGTGAGGATGCTGCAGGGGTCTCCTCCTTTCTCTACCGCAGCCTGGGAGGACCAGTCCAGGCAGGGAGCTGGGGCTCTGGCAGCAGGTACCTGGGGCACAGCTCAGTGTCACTCCTAACACGCACAAAACACATCAACTCTGCAGCAGCCTGGGGATATTCCAGGTCCATCACCCTGTAGCTCAGCCTCTCTGCTAACCATAAGAGAGTACCCTGAGAGAAAAGCTATGTTTGGATCAGCGGGTGAGCCCTAAAAGCATTCAGAGCACTGATTCAAGGGGCTGCCTGCATCCCAGTCAATGCTTTTCTGTCAGGTCCCCAGGCAAACCCCAGCCCTGCAAGGGTCTGCTGAAACCACTTCGGTTTCACCCAAAGCAGCAGCAGTGCCCATTTCTGCTCCAGGAAAACTCGCGGGATGCATCGGGAAGGAACAGGGCTCTCCCAAGCCTGCTCCTGTGCAATGCAGCACTCGCAGCCCCGCTGCTGGGGGTGGCTGCCCCAAGGAGCAGGTAAGGTGTCAGGTCTCATTGGCTTGCCCACACTTGACAGGAGGGGGTGTACTGCTTACACCCAGCTTGCCCTTTGAGCCCTGAACTGGGCTTTGCTTTCCTTTAGAGAACAAAAATGCCCCTTTCCATGTGAGCTGCAGGATCCAAAGCCCTTTCAGGCAGCAGGAATTTCTCTCCTGCCTTCAAAACAGGGGTTAACCAAAGCCCGTGTCATTACTGATACCTCTAGCGTTACAAATGGAAGTAGCAAAGATGGGAAGAGCTTATTTACAATTCAGCGAGGGATATAGCAAGACACTCGTGTTCCACTGAAGGCTTTAGAGGAAGCAAAGGAATGCATCTGCCTGCACGCAGCACATAAATGGAGGTGGAAGAGCTGCAGCCCTCAGAACGATCACATCAATGTTGTTGGGAGCACAGTAGCTCCATTGCAGTAGCAACGTTTTTCCTCCAAAGGATGTCGTGAGCCCAAAGCTCCCCAGGCTTCTGCTGGCACGAGGCAGAGGACAAACACACCCCAGCAGGAGCCAGAAGAGGTTCATAGGATCCCAGCCTGGTTTGTGTTGGAAGGGATCTTAAAGCTCATCCAACCCCTGCCACGGGCAGGGACACCTTCCACTGGAGCAGCTTGCTCCAAGCCCCTGTGTCCAACCTGGCCTTGAGCACTGCCAGGGATGGGGCAGCCACAGCTTCTCTGGGCAGCTGAGTCTCCTTAATGCTCTGAGCCACGCCAGGGATGCTCTCGGTGCCCTGTGGGGATGGTGCAAACGCCACATAGCAAAGCTGGCAGCTCTCCTCACCCAGGAGGTGCTCGCACCCAACCCTGTGGGCTCAGCCCCATCCCCTGCACCTCAGACAAGGTCTCCACAGCCGAGCTCCGGGCCGTTCCCACTGATTTCAGAGACCTGCTGCTCCAGAGCCCGCTGAGGTGGCTGCAGGGCAGACCTCCCCACTGCACCCCTCCCGAGGCAATTGCATCGTGGGCACCACTTGCCTTGCATAGAATAAAACCGAGCTCTTGGCATGGCTGCCAGCATTGAGACAGTCCCCAGTGCTGCATTTACTGCCCAGGCACCATGCAAGGGCATTGCCTTCCAGGCAGTGGGAAGGAAGGGGTAAATCCCCCATCCCAGCACACAGCAGCTTCTGCTTGCCCGAAGCTCAGACTTCCATTGACAGCCCCATTCCCAAAGTCTGCAAGCTGAAGGCAGAGGTCAGTGGAAGGGCAACAAGAAAGCTCCAAGATGCTCCTGCAGTTCCAGTCACGCCATCCCATAGATGTCAAGCAAGAGCAACCAAACCAACCCCCAACCACCCTCGAGCTTTGCCCCATCCTTCTCAGGAACAACAGGTTTCATGGGAGAAGTAATGGGAGGCAGAAAGGAAGGTGAACCTGAAGGACCGAGATGGAACCCCGTTGGCTGATTAAGATTCAACCTGATTGTGACGTTAGGCTCAAGGAGGGTAGCAATTAGTATTTCAAGCAAGGACAGGGATTGAGCTGACATGAATTCTTCATTGGTTTCCCTCCCCACCTCCACATAGCATGTCTGATACGCTCTCATCATATCTCACATCCTTAATGCCCTGTGCATGCAACTTTCAAATCTCTGCAGCCTATAATTAAGAGATACTGTCACATCTTCCTGTTCCACTAACAGAATAATGGTTTTCCTGAGCAGAGGCTAAGCTGAGAAGCTTGTTTGCAAAGCAGGAAACCATTATCCTTGGCCAATGTTCTGTGCCAGTGACTGTGCCTCATTATACCAAATGTTTAAGCTGCTCATGCGGGAGTCAGTTGGAAACCCTGGCCAACGGGAAAGGAAGTGAGTGGTTTTAGCTTCTGGGCTCCAGTTCAGATGCAGGATAACCCATGGCACAGGTTACATGGTGGAGGCAGCGCCAGCTTGTCCCAAATGGACCATCTCAGCAGGCATCGAGACAGGAGGACACGGAGCCACCCATGTGAGGAGAGGTCTGGTGAAGCAGCCAGGGGAGGTGGAGGTTTTCAATAGATAACACGAGACTCGTGCATGACGATAGCAAGGAAACCCAGCACAAGACTGGAGGGGAAACTGAGCAACCCCCTCACTTGGCCCTTGTCCCGCTGCACATCCTGGTCCCCAGCCACTTGCTAATGGACTTCGAGCACAAGCCCTTTGTGAAGAGCCCACCTGCACCACCCACTGCTGCTCTGCAGGAGCTTGCCAGGGGAAGCCACGGAGGCTCAATTAAACCGGCTCCATTTGGTATAACGAGGCAATCAGCTCCATGAGGAATGCAGACGTTTGGTTTGTAGCACTGCCCCTGTAAATGCAGACCTCATCATATCTCTCTCTGATCAGGCTCTTTCTGCTTCTCTCTGTTTTATTCCCATTCTTTCTTCTCCTTTTCACCTGGTCTATCCACATGGACCATGAAGGTCTCTTGAAAGGTAGGACCACGTGCTGCCAGAAGTCCGGCACATTTAGCTTTTTCTTTATATTCCTCCCTTCGAGCTATTTGTTTCTTTAGAGCTGAAACTGTTACCTCCCCCTCCCTATTCCCACGTACCTGCCTCCACCTAACACATTGAACAAGATCCCTCCAACTCCTGCTGGCACCGGAGGGTACCCCCATGTCCAGTGATGTGCCTCTTGCTTGGGATATGCTGGGCACCCCCAGCCACATGCTCAAGTAGCTCATCCCTCCTGGTGGAGCTGGACCTGGAGATGATGCCCTTGGTGCACTCACCCTGATGCCAGACACCCAGAGGATGGTGGCAAGGGACACAAGCCAAAAGCCTTTATATCCTAAACAATCTGCCTGCCCGCTCTTGGTCTCAGCCCTGGCTGAAGCCTCCCCCCCTCCTTCTCAATGATTTGTGCAGCTCAGGACAATGTTTCCCACATGGTTTTCATCTGGGTGCTCTGGTTCTCTAACACACACATCAGCCGCCCCCCCGAAATCTTAACAGGGTTATAATGCATCAAGCTGCTGATGCCTATCTGCTTCACCCTCCTAATGCACTAACAGGATAAACAGTAACAGAGAGAGGTAAAACCAAGGGTATGTGCAAGAAAGCACAAGCAAACCCCCCCTTAGGGAAAAGCTGGCTCTAGATTCAGCTTTAACCTTTCCCAAGGTTTGGGCTTTGGCTTGCAAATGAAGGGAGCTGGGTTTTGCCACTCTCTACTTGGCATTTATTAGGCTTCCTAACTGGCAGCCCTGCTTGCAGGCTGAATTCTCTTCCTCCTCACCCCCATAAAAGAAGCTGCTTTCCAAGCTAACAAGTTATGTTTTATTGTGATGCCAAGTTAACACAAGGCCTCAAATATTGGGTTTTGTAATATTGCTTTAATCCACAAAGAGCTGATAGAAGGAAATACAGGAGAAAGCTGCATGTTGTACTGTGGGATACCAAATTCCTCCCCCACTGTACAGAGCTGATGCCATTAATTAAATGGCATGAGAGAGACTTAATGCCTTCCCCAGCTGAAGAGGGGTTTGCTCCCTGGCCCAAGCAAAGTGCTTCTCGTGCCTTTGTGGGAAGCAAACACCTTTATGTGGGCACTGACTACCACAGGCTGCAATCAAAGCCCTGCGCTTGCACTGGGTTTAAGGGAAATGAGGGAACAGAGTCGAGAGCCATGCTGGGGAGTCCAGAACTAAACCAAGCCCAGCAGAGAGTCAGGGGTGGAGGGGGGAGGACAAATACAAGGCACATGTGTGAGACCCTGAGGAATAACACACAATTTGCATGCTGGCCCCAAGATACAGATGAAGTAAGGACGAGCTGATATGAAAATTACCTTTTATATATAGCAACCCACTCTCATCCTCCACACAACCTTATCTGGATTGATGAGATACCAGCCTTTGCCCTCCAGAGAGGGAACAGCTTTGCCCTGTTTCTTTGGTAAAAGGGTTTATTTAAAGGGTTGGGGATTATTTCCGTGGGTCAGACTATTTATTTTACAGTGACCTGGCTTAATCTTTTGAGTGAAAAAGAGAAAAGGAGAAAGAATTGAGCAAACAAGCTTTAGATGCTCAGAAATAAGCTTGGAAAGGTAAATTCCCATGAGTTTTGGAAGCTGCACAGAACTTGGCATCCTATACATGCCCCCTCCCAGTGCTTTGAGAGCACTCCCCATTGCATGTAGCTATCTAAACAGTCAAGTGGGGGGGTTATGCAAGGAAACCTGGAAGCAAACCTCACTAAACCAGGTTCTACCAAAGGCAGCTAAAATGCTAAGAGAAAGAAAGAATATAAGCAATGACAAGGGAAGGATATTTAGAACATGCATCCAGTTGGACTGATCTAAGCGTTGTATGTAATGGAGGATAAAACCCTACAACTGCTTGCTATAAACTAAACCCACGAAGGCTGGGCTTGCAGAAACACCCACCACAGCACTCCTCCTACGTGGAGGATGCCTCCCAGCCTTCATACACGGGTCAGACACACCACGACTCGCTGTCTGCACCCAGAGCATCCCACATCTGGGGGCTCTGCTCCATGTAAGCACACACTGGATCTATCTTTTGAATATCCAGACCTTGTCTGAAGGTTCTTAGCCCTGTTCTCAACCCTTAACGGTGTCTGTCTTCTGCTACCCAGCGATGAAGACAACAAGCCCCTGCCCAACAGCCAGACCTCCCTGGACGGCACGATAAAGCAGCAGGAGAGCGACGATAGCTTGGTGGACTATGGAGAGGGGGGAGAAGGGCAGTTTAACGAGGACGGCTCCTTTATCGGCCAGTACACGGTGAAGAAGGACAAAGAGGAGACTGAAGGCAATGAGAGCTCGGAAGCCACCTCCCCAGTCAATGCTATTTACTCGTTGGCATAGCGCAATGCACTGAACCCACAAAGAGCTGGAGGTGTTTGTAGTGGATGGGGGTTAAACAACAGCCGCCGCCGCCTCCAACAGCAACGTGTGAATGAAGCAACCAACAATGATAAGAAAAAACACAAAAAAAATAGGAAACCAAGTTTAAACCCCAAGCAAAAGGCAGCCCAGGGGCTGCCGATGCCATCTTCTCCTTAGCAAACACGCAAACAGCAAGGACTCACGGGGCACGGATGGGTTGTAGCTGTAGCTGGAAGCTGGGCTGAGCCACAGGGGCTGGAGGAGCGGGATGCTTGAGCTGCACCCCAGCTTCAGGGCTGGTCCCAGTACCCCGAGCCAGCCTGGTGAGGGACATGGGGTGGGCTCGGCTGCCCAGGCCCCCCCCCCCCCCCCCCCAAGGCCCCTTTGGTTCTTTTTGGGAGGGAGTTAACCATTCTTCTTTTTAATCTTTACAGGAAGGTTTCAGGTAACAGGGGAGGGGGGAAGGAAACCAAGAGGTGAGTTTGGGGAGGGGAAAGGGGTGAGCAGCAGAAATGCACGGCAGGAGGAAAGCAGAGGACCTTTGGGCAGCGACACCACGGCACTGTGTGACTGAGATGTCCGTCCTCACGGCAGCACCCTGCCCACAGCCTCTCCCAAGCTGCCAGCACCACCACCTCCTTCCCAGCAGATCCAGCAGCACCTACGCAGGGAAGGGCAGGCTCCCACCACTTCCCTTGGCACCATAACTCACAGCAGTGCCAAGGCTCTGCCATCCATTCCCACTGCAAAGCCCATGGGGAGGTCACTCACAAAGCACCCCCACAGGGCTCCAGAGCATCCTCAGACACAAGAGCCTGCAGAAGAGCTTGTGGGATCTGTGGAAGGACGTTCAGGTGCCGCTCACCCTCCCAGCCCTGGAGAACAGCATCGCTTGCCTGGGTAATTGTAGGCAAACCATTCAGATTTAGTCTTTGCTTTGTAAGAACAGGGGGGGAACTTCCCCCAGACCATGCCTGCTTTCTTTTAAAGGTAACTCCATGTATCTTATGTAGCAAAGAGGGAGTGGAAGCAGGACCAGTATTAACATAGGACGAGGGGACCAGAAATCACGTATCGAAAACCAGATTGAATCAAAGGTCAGGATGAGAAGCACCCAAGGGATTGGGTGGAGGATCCCCCGCAGCTCCCCATCAGCAGCTTGCACAGTTCAGGGATGTGCATCCTTTGGGAGCCAGGGAGGGAGGCAGAACCCGCGGTCCACGTCTTCCCCAGGCACCAGGGATGAGCCAGCTCTACAGTGTTTTCCACTAAACCCCCCTCCTCATCTCTGACAGTGGCCTTTCCCCCCCTCCATCAACCACCCTGACCGAGACCCTTCCAGGAGCGAGCACCGGAGCAGCCTCCCCTCCGCTGTCCTCCCCACATATCGAGGGAACTCGCCATCTACGTTAACCCGGTACCGCGCAGCTCGGGTGGGAGCGCTCCTCCTCATGCCTTACACAGCTTCGGACTTCCCGAGAGGTCCAAGGAACTGATCCTCTTCCCCCACCCGCTTACGCACCCCTAACGCTGGGCTCCGGGCCGCCGGAGCAGGATGGATGCCTGGGCAGCTCCCAGCGGAGAGCGCACGGATCCCTGCGGAGGGCAGCTGGTGGCAGGCGGTGCTGAGTGACCAGTGCCGTGTGTGCTCTCCCACTGCCTGCACTTCCGAAAACCAAAGGTACCTTCGCCGAGAGAGAGCAGACTCCTGCACGGAGCGGCGGGCGGATGGATTTCGCTTCCATTCTGTTTCCAAGGAGGGTGGCTTTGTTCGGCAGAATGGATTACACGCAATAGGATTAATGCAATTCCTCTTTTAGCTTTCAAGCTGGTTTGCTCTGAAGTCGTACCGCTAACACTACTACTAACAGGGATTGTTGGGACTTTGCCACATTCTTTACGCTGCTAATGGCACAACTATCCTGCCCTTCAGGGAAGAGCCCAGACCCAGTCAGCACCACTGCTGGACCACATAGAGCAAACAGGAGAGGGCTGGATGCAAACCCAACAGCAAAGGAGCTACACCATAGGAGCATGGAGGGGTTAGGCTGGTGTTAACAGGCAGAGCCCATCCTACATCCAGGGGGGTTGTGCTACCCCAGGGCACCGCACAGGAACCCATCTGCAGGGTCCTCCATCTGTGTCACCTTACAGAGCAGGAGCCACGCGTCTCGCTGCTACCATCAGTGTAAACCCATTCATGAGACGAGCCAATTTCTGCCGCCGCCACTCACCGCTGGTCTGGTTTAAGGAGGCATCTCCATCCCATTCCCAGGACACGCAGCAGTTGTACTCCCTTTCTAAGCAAACACACCAGGCCAAACTTAACACAGCCCCGGTCGTGGGGGCAACCCCTTCCCAAGCCTACAGCTGTGCTTACAAGGTTGAGCTGGTGTAAAACCCTTCCCAAGCACCAGTGGAAATGAGGAGAGAAAGAAACAACAACGTCTGCTGTGGGAAAGCCTCCGCTGCGGGAGCTGGGCACCTCCATCACACCCGGCACATCAGAGCCTCGCCGCTTGTGGACCGACCGCTAACGGGGACCACAAGACCTCGGCTACCACGCAACACCTCCAAACCTCATGGAACCGGTCAGGCATTCCTGGAAGCAGGACAGTCTGTGTCATGTATCTGTATTACGTGCCATTTATATTAAAGCCTGTGTTTCTGTCCTGTCATTAACCACCACTTTCCTAAGCAAACCTCTCTTGGAAATGAAGGGTTTCCCCCTTTGCAGTGGTTGTCTCGGGAGGGAAGGAGCTGACCTCAGCCCAGCCAGTCCTGCCCTTGCCCCCAGAGGCCTCATAAACCAGTGATAGAGTCCTGTAACCATAAGTAACCAGAAAAGGAAGGAGATGCCTGCAGAGGGCCTGGGGAACCTCAGTGTAAGTTATGTGTAACCTCATACATTTGCCTGGTGCAAAAATCACTCGGAGATCAGAAGGTGCAGTAAAAGGTTCAACGTTTCTTTGAAGCTTCCCCCAACAGCTCTGGAGCCAAAAGGGAATTCCAAGTCCAAAACTCATCCTCAGTTTCACGTGTTTTACTCCCTTTGTTAAAGATGCAGTAGACGCTTGCACGTGCAGTTACTGCATCACAGGAGCAAAGCACTTGGCTTGCTCCGACCACCAAAACCACTGCAGGGTGACCCCACACCACCCCCAAAATGCATTCACCCCACAGGGGCATCACAGCCATGCTTCTGAGGGAGCCTCCATAGAGCACTAGGAGAGGGATGGAGACCCTGCACGAGGAGCACCTCTGGGTGCGCTCCATGCCAGTGGCTGGTTTGCCTGTCCCTGGTGTCACCCCATAAGAGCTGCTTTACTTCTCCATCCCCAGCTGCCCCTCTCCAGCAGGTACAGGCTGGTCACCTCCACTGCTGCCTACAGTGTGACTTCCACAGTGAGCAGAGATGCTCAGAAGGGATCTGTACCAGCTCCAAGGGCTGGACCCCTCCTAAGGGCTCAGTCTCCACGCCAGGGCTGAGCATCCCTCCCTGGGATCCACACAGCCTCACCTTCACATTTTGCAGAAGATACATCTCCATAAAGGGTTTAAATTGGGCACCAACAGTTAACAGAGACAGGATCGAAATCAGCCCAGGGGGAGCAGAGCCTGGGTCCAGCTCCCAGATTGCAAATTTGAGCCTTTATCTAAACTGGTTCGAGCCAAAAACTCCTCCAGAGACAAGATCCAGACCCTGCTGACTGCATCCGAGCACAGGGACGCAGCCTGCACCGCCCCAGCACAGCACCTATGGCTGCTGTGAACCACAGGAGCACACGTGTGGGACACAAGAGGACGCTTCTGTGACCTTGAGGCTGCTCCGATTCTCCCTGCAGTGATGCTGCATCCATCCGGTGGCGATGTCCTGACAGCACCCCCCTGCCAGAGCTTCCTTGTCTCAGTGACAGACCCCGAGTCCCTGCGTTACAGTCACTTGTGTGTGGCGCTGGGGGAGCAGGATGGGTGCACAGCACCAGCCATCACTGGAGCCCCTTGCTGTGCCTTACCTTGGCACGCAGCACTGCTCTGTCCATGCCACCAGCCGTCCTGGAGGGTCCCAGCACCTCTCCTCAGTGCGCAGGTGCCAGCAGAGCTGCGGGTCCAACCTGCACCCCATCGTACCAGGCTTGATGTGTGCCAGCAGCACCCGTTTCAGTTCAGCAATAAGCAAACCTTGTGGAACATAGACGACCACGTTCTAGTTCTTGCACTAAGACCTGTTCTATTAATGAGAATAACGAAGCTTCTCTGGTTCTAACAGCCCAATGCATCAGTAGCTCCCCATGCCCAGCAGCGCCTGTCTCTCCATGTCCTTCACAAGTGGGCATCGGGCTTTGGTCCTCAAACCCAGTCTAAACCCCCCATCAAACCCAGAGCAAAGTCCTTCCTTTGCAGCCCAGAGTTCTGTGTTTGTTCCTCCTGCTCACATCAGAAGGGAAGTTTTGGGCTGTTTCATTCCTCTTTAATTTGTAAATATCTCGCCATCCATCCATCCTCTCTGTGAAACCTCCCTGTTGTTCTCAACTATTCTGTGTATTTATTTGCCTTTTCTGTTTTGAAAGCAAAAAAAAAAACCCACCACCTCTGCGTTAACCCACTTGTTCCAATGGGAAACGTACAGCTGAGGCTGTGAAATCAACAGTATACAGCAAGAGGATTTACGGACTGTGGAAGAAAAGGTGTTGAATCTAAGGACTTCTAAACCGACTGCATGAGACGAACGAAGGCCAAACCCCTCAGACCGTTTTTTGAACCACTGTAATAAAGAACAGAGCGGAGTTTTTGTATAGAGAACACTAAACATGAAATAAAACACTGTTCAAAACCCAGGCCAAGGCCTCCGCTCACCTCTGTCAGCGCGCACCAGGGGAAGCTGCTGCAGCAGCCCTGCAGCCACCCCGCGGAGCAGCGCTGCCGGCTCCCGGGCCCCGGCCTCCTCGCTGCCCATCACCGAGCACGGCCCGCGGGAGCGGCAGGGCCGGCAGCTCCCCCTCCTGACCCGCGCAGCCCCGCAGCAGCGAGCGATGCCTCCCTGGGGCCGATCCTGCACCCCCCGGCCCCTTCCTGCCCCTGAGGCTCTGAAGTGCTCTTAGAGGCTCCCTGGTGCA